TCGTAGCGCAGCGTAGCGCTCACCGCTACACCACCGCTCCCCACACACACGCGTACACACAGACGCGTACACACGTGTCAATAATCAGACTGGGGCGAGGGATGCCTGCATTGTACAGACTCAATCACCGGGCTGGGCCCGGATTTTTTTAGGGATTACCACGTGAACACCGTGGGCGGACAGCACATTTTATTTTTTATTAAACTATTTTTTTTTATTTCAGCAGGTAAGGGCCACTGAGCTATGTAGCTCTTTTCAGAAGCGACCTGGCTGCCACAAATGATGGCTCAACAAAGTAGTTTTTTTTTATCACGTGGACATTTATAGCAGGCCAAACACTCGAAACGCATGTTTCTAACTGTAGGGGGGAAAACCGGAGGACCCGGAGATAAATCCACGCGACCACGGATAAACACGCAAACTTCAAATATAAAGCAGGCATTGTCAAGGTCGGGATCGACCCCACGACCTCCTGTATACTAGGCGAGGTAGTAAACATCTCCCAGCCACCGTTATGCTCACACACGGCCCAATGCTTCAGGCCACGATGATGTCTCTCTCTCTCAGAGTAGTGTGGAGGAAGAGCCAAGGGCCTTCCTCTAGCAAGCCCCTGGGTGGCCTCTCTGGACTAAACACATTCCTGCAGAGGGAGCTGGTATGAACGTTGGGTTGCTCGGTCAATGGCTAGGGTCAACGGCGGCGTGGTGTATTCCGCAAATATGCCCGACTGTGAGGGCGGGCACAAGCCGGCGTGAGTAGGTTAAACGTTGAGTTTTATAAGGGCACCACGGGGTGACCAGCCCTTCCCCACCCAGCCCCACCCCTCCCACCCCCCACCCAGCCCCTCCCCACCCAGCCCCTCCCCACCCTCCCCTCTCCACCCAGCCCCTCCCCATGGCCAGCCGCAGACACGGCCGAGCAGGTGACACACACACACACCTGTGTGCAGACAAAGGCGCGGCGGACACACCTATTGTGCACACACAGCGAAGGGCTGCCTGGCACCGCCAGACTAATTGCCTATTTGAGCTCGCCCCCCCCCCCCATCTAAAAGCGCCGTCTTGCCGTCTGGCATGTCAAGGGCCGAGACAGAGAAGGGGGCGGTTGCAATGCAAAGTGGCGTGGGAGCACAAATCAAACGACACACTCAGCAGCACGTTCGAAGCAAAGTTTGGTTTACAACAAGAACGCGTGTTTGTGTGTGACAAAGACAAAGTATAGCCTGTAACAGACTGTAATAGACTGAAACAGACTTTACCGAAAGAACCAAAGAGTATGGATTCCTGCAGTCACGAATGCTTCAAATCAAGACTGTAATGCCTGTAACAGACTGTTGGGGCAAGTGCTGTTAGCGAGCACCTACGAAGGCCAGGACGGCACACGAGGGGGTGGGTGGCCAGCACCACGCCCGGCCGCCTTTGTCTCTCCCAGTGGCGATGTTTTTACACAGCGCACCGGGTACTCATTTGAGGCTGAGTCGACCTAGGGGAGGCCCAGGACCGGTTCAGATAATAGTCACCGGTGTTGTCCGTGAACGGGAATCGAACTCGGACCGCCAGGTTCGTTGCGCAGCGCAACACATTCACCGCTATACCACCGCTCCCCTCTGCCGCCCTGAAAGTTGACAAATAATTTTTTGTGTTGGCAAAAGTTCGATCGCGTAAATATAAATGTGTCGTAACCCTCCACCACCCGACACAGCCAATTTATAAGGGATTTGTCACTTAAACAAAACGCCAATTAGTTACTACTTCAACACACCAGTGGGCTAAAGTAGTAACTATTTGGCGTAAACAAAACGCCAATTTTGCTTACGTGACAAATCCCTTACTAATTGGCTGTGTCGGGTGGTGGAGGGTTATGACACATTTATACTTACGCGATCTAACCCACAAACCTTTATTATGACGTCAGTCTAAGTTTCACGTGTTTCTGTTACCGTATGCGGCGGTGTTAATGACTGAATGTCGAGAGTTCTAGCGGCTTGTACAGTCCTGTGCCTTAGACTCGCCATCTCACCCAGTCGCACCTCCCCATGCCCATCACTGTGGCTGTCATTGGACATGAATAACACCGCACGTGCACTTTCCCGGATGAAGCTAGTGCGGGGCCTGTAGCATATGTTATAAAGAGGCCCTAAATAAAAAAAAACACATACATATTAAAACACATATTTTACTTGCATCGTAAAGTAATTGTATGTTTAATTTGCTATACGGCCAGATAATACGACAAATCGCATACCTTAAACACCCAGTCGTTCGTAAAAGTTGAAGGCGGTAGAGTACTATAGTAATAGAGCAAGTGCAGAATCACTGAACCGGAGTTGATAGCTTGAAATAATTTAGCGCGGGGCCCTTGAAAGTGCGGGGCCCGTAGCTACTACATATGTAGCTACTACATGTGTAGCTGCTACATGTGTAGCTGCTACATGTGTCGTAGCTACTACATGTGTAGTAGCTACTACATGTGTAGCTGCTACATGTGTAGCTGCTACATGTGTAGCTACTACATGTATAGCTACTACATGTGTAGTGCTACTACATGTGTAGCTACAGGACCACTGCACGTGCAGTGTTATTCATGTCGACAGCGCTGTGTTAATACGCTCTCTGCTGGTGCGTATTGATAGGTAATGAGGGATGAATACTAGGGTTTGGGGGGGAAGAGTGAAGAGGACTTCGGTTTGGGTATCACTCGCCACTGATGTCAGCAGTGGCTGAGAAATGACCTCGGTTTGGTTGGGTTCACATCGCAACTGCGCCGTCACTCATCCCAGTGTCTGCATTGAGCAGGCACACACACAACAATGACAAGGGCATGATGACAATTAGGCAATACATTATCAGCACTTATAAAATAAGGCGCATTTGGCTATTATGGTATGTGATGAGTAAATGTGACCGAACTAAAATAAGCAAATGGAATTGTCAGGACAGTAGTTGTCTAACAACAGTGGGTGGTTAATGCGTGTACGCAGCTGGAAACAGAGTTGTGGCCTTGAATGTGAACACAGGGGACGTTTACTACCCTAAGCCCTGCTCTTTGGATAATCCAGATTACTCCATGCATTCAGACTTAGTGAATTCCTAGACACAACAGGGTACAAGACGGGGTGGGGTGGAGTGTGTTACAATATTAAGTTTGGTCCTAAAGCACGCAGTTTATTATTGCGTGTGTTGACCCAGTAAAGCCTCGCTGAGTTTCACGACTCTTTTATCGTTTTTGCAGTCGGCGGTCGATGATTGCTATGTAAACCAATATAATGAATTTATGGCACGCAATGACCCACTCGAATGACGTCGTGGGATCTCTGACATCTACTGCGAAACAGACGGTAGCAAATACTCCAGCGGTTTGAATCGCTCGCTGGGACCGAACCGTGAACCACTGAAAAAATCAGCAGCGCACACTGCCACCGCTGAGGGGCATCACCACACCACGCACGCCACTCACACGGATCACACCACGCTTACATGTTTTATTAATTTAATATACGGTAGACTCTCGATTATCCACGTGCGGTTTTTCCGATGTGCGGATTAAATGCGCACCTGAGATTTTGACATAAATTAATAACTCATAGATTGTCCCTTAAGCCCAAATGAATAGTCTAAAACAGTTATACATTAATCATCATCATTTCACACCTGATGATGATTGCTTGTGTTGCAGTCAAAACGTCGTGAGAATTTGATTGTTTAATATTTTTATTATTTTATTATTTCCCTTCGACGTGACTTTACTGAAACAATCTAGAATATTAATCGCTGCAGTCACGAAAGCTTTAAATCCAAACAGTTTTCCATTGTTACTCTTAGAAATGTTTATTCCAAGTCAGGTGCTTAAACCGAAAAAATGTTCTCCGGTTATTCCGAAATCCACGTAATTGCCTCTACAGTACAGTAGTTGCAATATCATTACACCAGTGGGCGGAGTTTGATCGATGTTGATTGGCGTGCCTCTGCTGTCCACTTAATGGGCCGAGTCGTCTGCGTGGCAGCAGGAAAGTGTCATCACTGAGCACGCCCAAAATGTCTATTCATTTTGATTATCCGCAATTGTTAATTATCTGCGGCCGTCTTCCCCGTCATTTGCGCGGATAATCGAGAGTCTATACCTGAACATTGCTTTGTGCTAAAGTGTCATGTCATTGCACGTGGTGAATACGAGAAGGTGGTCCTTCATCAATAAATAACATCACGCAAACAGTCCTTCGCACGCGGCTCCCGCAGGCACACCTGTCAACCCATACGGTGTGCCCGTATTCTTGTACAGCGTAAATTGGGTGAAACAAAGGTGTCTATTTGTTTGTGTTTCTCCCTTGCGATGGGACTTTGTAGGGGCACGGGGTGACCAATACGGTGTGAATTGGTCTGTAAAAAGGTAAGGGCACTCGTGATAAGGGACCGTCCATAAATGACGTCATGCTCCTGGGGAGGGGGGGTTCAGACATTTGTGACGATGTGTGGCGAGAGGGGGGGGGGGTGAGAAATGTGACGTCACATCAAAATGCGCAACTTTAAATAAATATAGACAACACGTTCTACTTAATTAAATATACTTTTTAACAAATGTTTTCTCCTACAACATCAGAGTGCAGCGCCCCATTGAATTCGCACTACAATGACAATAGTTTAAAGCGATTTTAAGCATGCTTTTTAGGGAGGGAGGGCAGAGCTTTGTGACGTCATATTTGAGGGGGGTCTGACTTTTTGTGACGCCGTGTGACGAAGGGGGGGGGGGTCATAAATCGTGCAAAACCGCCTGACGTCATTTATGGACGGCCCTGAAGGGAAGGGCACTCGTGATAAAGGGGTTGGACCCCACACCCGCATCCCTGCACACAGACGATCAGAACATCGCGGAGATTATGGCAACATTTTCTGAAATATGTTAATTTATGTTAATGCAGCCGCGCGGACCAATCACAAGCCGCCAGTCGCCGCCTGCACCCCGCCACGTTGATCCCCGCGCATGCGCACTGGGGAGCACCCGGAAGTCGCGAGCCGGCGTGGTGGAAGGAGTCGGAATGGCGGCACGTGGTGGTCGTCTCTGCCGGCCGTGCGCCGATTGACCGCGGGCTCGGTGGCCTACACCGACCACCACCACCCTCCCTACCCACACCCAGGTCGTGTCGTGTCCGTGTTGGTCCAGCCGTCGTATCAAGCAGCAGCCATGGGTCCCGCGATCGCCGTGCTGCTGGTGCTGCTGGGATGTTGCAGCAACGTGTACTCGCTGGAAATGCTGGCCAGGTGAATGTCACGACGCGTTGACCGCCGCGGTGTCGCCTCCGTCGTCACTTGCAGCGCCGTTTAGAATGAGCATGAGCAACCACGTCGTCAGTAGCAGCAGTGTCACAATCGGAATGTTTATGCTGGAGGAATCCGATGAGCTATGAAGATTTTTTTTCAGAGTTGTTCAGCAGGGGCGGGTCAAAATGTTAAGACAAACAATAAGAAAGCACGATTTGAGTGCAAACTATAGGAAAGGTGGACAAATCACTTGAGAAAAAATATACAAAATCTAAGCCATTTTATGTTACCAGGTAAAGCCCAATGAGCTAATAGTAATATTCTTACTATTAGATTACATGATAAATTGGCCACTTTTAAGAGAATAGTTTAGGATGGGTATTCAGCCCATAAATAACGAGTTTTATTTAAACTATATTTTTATTTTACCAGGTAAGGCCCACTGAGCTACATAGCTCTTTATCAGAAGCGACTGGCCACAAATGATAGCTCAACAAAGTGGCTTATCGCGTGGAAATTCAGTGGCAAAATAATATAAATGCATGTTTCACTGGCATAATGCTCAATCCACTGTTCTTGTAGTAAGTAGAGCGTCTCTTTATTGATCATCAGCAGCAGTGTCGTCGTCATTCTCTATCCACTGTTCTTCTAGCAACGCGTATTCATTTTGCCAGGTCACGTCAATATGCCAAGTGTAGTGTCGTCGTTAGTCAAGCAGCAGCAACAGAATTATCATCGGAAACGATCTCAGCCGAAGCATTGGCAGCAGCGGTGCGAGCATCATCAGTATCAGCAGCAGCATGAACATCATCATCAGCAGCAGCATGATCATTATCATCAGCAGCATGATCATCATCAGTATCAACAGCATCACCAGTATCAGCAGCAGCATGATCATCATCAGCAGCATGATCATCATCAGCAGCATGATCATCACCAGTATCAGCAGCAGCATGATCATCATCAGTATCAACAGCATCACCAGTATCAGCAGCAGCATCACCAGTATCATCAGCAGCATGATCATCATCAGTATCAACAGCATCACCAGTATCAGCAGCAGCATGATCATTATCATCAGCAGCATGATCATCATCAGTATCAGCAGCATCACCAGTATCAGCAGCAGCATGATCATCACCAGTATCAGCAGCATGATCATCATCAGTATCAGCAGCATGATCATCATCAGTATCAGCAGCATGATCATCATCAGTATCACCAGCATCAACAGTATCAGCAGCAGCATGATCATCATCAGTATCAGCATGATCATCAGCATGATCATTATCAGCAGCAGCATGATCATCACCAGTATCAGCAGCAGCCTGATAATCATCAGTATCAGCAGCAGCATGATCATCACCAGTATCAACATGATCATCATCAGTATCAGCAGCCGCATGATCGTCGTCATCATTCACTGTCATTCATTGCAGCCACGCGGATAAGCTCCCTTCACCCGCGTGCATCTACTGCCGTTGCAATGAGTGTATCGACTGAAATCGCGAGGACAGAATATCGTCACCATTCTCCCTTCGCTGCCGCTATGAAACTTCCCATCTGTGCCGCATCTCCCATGCGCGCCCGGGTTGATTCAATCACCGCTCCCCCTGCCAACCCGTTAGAAACCCTCTCAAGTTCACCTAGACATTGGCACTTGTCTCTTGCTCACTAACCGGCAAGCGATCACCCCCCCTCCCTCCTTACCCGAGGGCTTTTACGCACCTTTGGCGAGTAACCACAACGAATTTTCGTGTTATTGGATGGCGACGAAAACGTGAACGCGATGAGTGCCTGGCGGTGCCGCTTTCAATCTCAGACGCGTTGATTGGCGTCGGCCCGTAAGTTCCGACGCGGATACGTGGCCAGCGACGACGGATACAATGTGTGACCTCTCTTTCTGCTGCCCGACAGGGCCCATGTTTTACAAAGGTCATGCATGGCAGCAAATATGTCCAGGAGGTAAATGAACGTTATTGGCGGTACACCGGTGAGCGTTATATAAAAAAACAAGCAACATTTTCTCAATAAATGTTTTATTTCCACGCGTTTCGCAAACCCGGTCAGAAAATCTTGCGGGGTCGTGCGCCAAAATCAGTTCTCGTGTGGATGTGCGAAGCAGTCACGAGACGAATGATAATTGGCAGCCGAGCGTGAAGCTTCAAAGTCTGTTGCCGTATAGCAGCACCCAGCCTGGTGACGATTGTCTGGCTCCGTGTTCCAAAGGCAAGATTTGACTCCTCGTGACCTAGGCCTGGTCAGACGAGTTCCTCGATTCATTTCCGGAATCATTTATTGGCGGACGGTGGCATCAAAAGGTCATGACTCATGTCACACTTTCGAATGGGAAAGCAGCTGCTGAACCTTAATGCAACTTCTGATGGAGACTCTTCAGCTCAAGGGTAACAGCGACATCGTCAGACTGTTTTATGAAGACCGGTGTGTTATGCTGTCCCAGTGTATCGCCAATATGTCCAAATTCCAATGTTGCGGTCCGCAATGAGAGGGCTTCCGATAGAGACTTTGTGTAGTTGTGTTATTGCAGTGGCAATGGGGGTCGTTTGTTTGACCGTACTTCACCATGCTGGTCATTGTGGATTGCTAAAAGTGGGTGGAGTGGTGGCGCAGTGGTTAGCTACACTGCACTTAATTTCGGTATTCCTGAGTTTCATAGTGAGCGATATCTGAACCATTCCAGTGCATAGGCTGTACAGTATAAAAATTACTCGCCCAAATAATTTTGGAATTACCCAAATTTCCCAAAGTAAGACCATCCTGAAAAAAGTATTGAGACTCAGTGAAGCATTGTTGGATAAATAAAAACTTACTGACAAGAATTATTCTTTTCTTAGCAATGATTGAATGTAATGCCGATGCATTTGTCTCTTTGAACTGCAGAAAATACCCAGGATGCGGCAACATCGTCACGTTTTCCCAGTTCCTCTTCATCGCTTTGGAGGGCTTCATTTTCGAGATGAAGTTTGGGAAGAAAAAGCCGGTGATTCCCATCAGGTATTTCAGGGCGGGCGGGTCACGTGAGCACACTGAATACACCATGATAATGACGACCATTCACGACAACCTACTTTTTGCGGTTAAAACTGCTTTTTGTGTTAAGTTTCTTGTCCCCCCCCCGCACCTCCGATTAGCACGGTCGGTTACGTGCGTTGCGAAAGAAGTTCAACATACAGGAGCGCCAGATTGACTGATTTAAGGCCCTTCTTATAAAGGACACGCAGCCTTGGCGTGTAACAATCAGAGGCTGTGCGTTTTGTTTCAGGTTGCACCTTTAAATACATTTTTACGCACACAAGCATTCATATGCTCAGCTCAATTGCACGTGCTTAATCCCTGTGCCGTGTGTAACCTCCGGCACTTGTGAAACTTGCAAAGTCAGTGATTTCGCGCTCAAAATGAGGAGTTGAGGCGGTGCTCGTCTTCCGTTTACAACCCTGAGCCGGCGAGGAAAATTCCACATTTCTATGGTGGTGGCAAGTCTATCCATAGGACAACCACTGTTGACTTCCCCTCCAAGTGGAATTCATGTTTATTGACCCCAGTTGGGATTATGGGCTAAGTCAATGCCCCCCCCCCCCCCCAAACAGGATTTGAACTTGCAGCCTTAGGATTGCGAGCCATTTGCTCTACCGAAGAGCCAACCGGCCGGATATATGCATCGGTGGCATATGGGTGGTAGCCGTGCTCGTTATGACCACAGTCGTTGAAGCCGAGAGGGTACGAGGAGCGGCGGCATGGCACACACATGCAGCGGAGATCAATACTGGACGTGCTCTTGTGTCCTCGCGTGCAGGCACTACACCGTCATGGTGATAATGTTCTTTGCCGTGAGCGTGATCAACAACTACGCCCTCAACTTCAACATCGCCATGCCGCTGCACATGATCTTCCGATCGGTAAAGTGAAAAAAGCTATGTCTGTTGATCATCCGAGAGAGCCTCACTTGGGGCACCGCGGTGGTGAGATGTTCGCTACCTCCCCTGGTATACAGGAGGTTTTGGGTTCGATCCCAACCCTGATTCCTATATATTTGGAGTTTGCGTATTCTCCCCGTGGTCGCGTGGATTTTTCTTCTCGGATACTACCACCTCCAATCCTCTGCATGATCACATCTTGCTCATTAATCCAGAACATGTAAAGACCTTACTAATTTCACACTGGGTTGCTAAACATAGTGATGTCCTGTTGTTTTAACACTGTCTAAGGTTGGAAGCTCCGTCTATCCATAATGGGTGGGAGGGCCATAATGACTCTTGCAAAGATGATCCTGTATAAATGAAACGTACTTATAGAGTTGTGTTGACTTTAACTGGTCTATTTGATCAAGGTGTTGCCCAAAACTTGGGAGAGCCGAACCAACGCTAACACGTTTTGCCGTCGCAGCTTTTTTGTCCAGGAAGCTTACCCGTTGAGCTTTCAAGACAACCATGTGTTATCGGAAAGGTTTACATTATCCTGCGTGTATGCGTTACATTTCCCAAATTGTGTTCTTTCACCCGCACAGGGGTCACTCATCGCCAACATGGTTCTCGGAATCATTATTCTCAAGAAAAGGTAGGGCTGGTCTGAGTGCACTTGGCATTTCCCCTCGCTGCTGAAGGTTGCGGTGTCCTAGAATTGTGCCGAATCTTATTCACGAGACGTCATGTTGTTTTGTACGCGTCTTTGGCAGGTACACGCTGCCAAAGTACCTCTCCATCGTGCTGGTCTCGCTTGGAATTTTCATCTGCACGTTCATGTCGGCGAAGCAAGTGGTGGGTTGTTTTCTGTTAAAAGTGTACGGCTCACAGGTTGAAATCTGAGTCAGGGAAGGCAGGGGTTTGATTCAACCTGTCGTCTTTTTTTTCCGGGGTCAATGAATTGGTACCGCTTAGTGGGAAGTCAGCAGCGGTCGTCTGAGTAACCTGCTCTTTACTGGACATCTGTGAAAAAAACCTTTACAGCCCATCGGATTCCTCCACTATAAATACATGTTCTGATGTGGAATATACTGGGCTCAGGGCTGTAACAATGCAATGACCACTGCCCCAACCCATTCTTTCTTGAATGGGAAACCACTTAAACTTTTTAATATTGTAATAAGCTAATTGCTATTTTTGCACTTCTTCGCAACAAAAACCTAAATTGGCATATGACAAGTGCCGATCTTCTATTAAATTAATGTGCAATGTTTCTTTTAATTTTCAGGCATCGGACTACAATGCTGCTAAGGACGACGGTGATTATGCCATCATCACCTGGCTGATTGGTGCGTTTCCATATCCGATGACGATCTGTGATGAGCGTCCATATGATTTTCATCCAGATTTCACCACAGAGCTACCCTTTGTATAACCAAAATGCTCTGATTGTGCCCGATCTCATCCAATGTCAGAAGCCACAGAGGGTTTAGCCTCAATCTTGATTTGAAGCTTTCGTGACTACAGGAATCCATACTCTTTGGTTCTTTGGGTAAAGTCACGTAGGTAGAAAAATTATAGATCATGACGTTTTGATCGCAACACAAGCAATCGTCATCAGAAAGAAAAACTGCTGAAGTAAGCCTACTTCAGCAGTTTTTTGTTGTTGCTGTGGTTGTCCCACCTGATGACGATTGCTTGTGTTGCGATCGAAACGTCGTGATCTATTATTTTTCTACCTACGTGACTTTACCGAGGGTTAAGCCGGGTTAGTCCTTGGATGGTAGACTGCCCGATAATACCGCGAGTGTGGTATGCTTGGGCTCTGAGGTGGCTAGATGGCAGTACAGCAATGGATTCTGGAATCCATCTGTGCCAAGCGTTGTGTGTTGTCCCCATAAATGCGTGGCTAGTTTTCCCTCGCATGCAGCCACTCACAAATGGGATTGGCTAAACATCCCAATGCAGGAGTCTCTGGAAAAAGTTCACTCGGTGACATTTTGCTGCAAAAATAATGTGTTATTATTATTACTATTAAGTAATAATTAATCATTATTACTTAATAGTAATAGTAAGATTATTACTATTAATAGTAATCATCTTACTATTAGATTACATGATAAATTGGCCACTTAAGAGAATAGTTTAGGATGGGTATTCAGCCCGTAAATAACGAGTTTTATTTAAACTATATTTTTATTTTACCAGATAAGGCCCACTGTGCTACATAGCTCTTTATCAGAAGTGACCTGGCCACAAATGAATAGCTCAATGAAGTGGCTTATCACGTGGACATGTATAGCAGCCAAACACTCGAAATTTACGTTTATAAATGTGGAGGGAAAAACTGGACCACCTGGAGAAAAATCCATGCGGCCACGGGGAGCATAGATATATGCAAACTCCAAATATACAGATGTTAGGGTCAGGATCGAACCCACGACCTACATGCCAGGCGAGGGAGTCAACATCTCGCCACCGTATGACGATCGCAATGGTCGCACTGCTGTGATCGTCACGAGAGAGCGCATGCCTCAAAGTCAATTTCTCATTAACAAGAGTTTAAAACTCGTGTCGGACAGCCTGTATTTATCTTTACAGTCGATAAGCACAGGCCCACGGGCCCAAATTGTCAAGCAGCCGGCAACATAAAAGCACGATCAAAGTTGTAATAGATAAGCGTTAAACAATATTCTTGAATTAAGCAAGTTTATAAGGATACATATATCTGAAATGTATGTATGGTGAACTTCTTTCACACCATACTTAGCCAACCGTGCTTATCGGAGGTGCGGACTAAGAGCCATCTGTTTTTGGCCTGCGTCTTGTCTCAAGAAGGGCGCCTAGGCCGTTGTTGCGCAGTCCCAAGCTCGGAGACAAACTTAACGTTGGGATTTCGTTCTGCTGCTTCCACAGGAATCGGCATGTTGACGTTTGCACTCTTCATGTCCGCGAGGATGGGCATTTTTCAGGAAGAATTGTACGCTCGCTTCGGCAAGCACCCACGCGAGGCCCTGTTCTACAATGTGAGTGAAGGCCCTCGCGCGTGTCTTGTTCACATGTGCCACTGCCACAATTTCCACGTTGTATAGGCAGCCAATAGATGACTTACTGGAAATGCCCAGAGAGTACTTTGTCCCTCCATTCATCTGTCCTTTGGTCTGTACTCGGACATTTAATGTTTTGACAAAACAAACTTTTAAAACTCCTAAATCAGTCGCTACGGAACTTACCACAACTCTCGAACGCCGTTTTCCCGGGTCTGCATAGCTTTTGGGCAAAATTTGGCAATTAAATACTTAAAATAAAATAACCGTTATCCATTCTTACACGTGTTTGTGTGAACACACTTCGGCGTCCACTCAAATCCCTTGACAGAAGCGGAAGCCTCCCTTTATGGACTGGCTTGCTAGCTTGTTGTGATTGTTCTTCAGGTGTTTGATGGCTGACTAGGCCCTGGATTCTGGTGGTTTGGTATGAACCTCCGAGTGGTTTTGCGTGACTGGCTCTTGAGTTCAAGGTTCACCACTGTGGGCCTTATTCCCCCCCACCGTCCCCTCTCACCGGTGCAATACAGCTGCTCTCTCTATCAATCGGCTTATGACAATAAAGTTGCCGTGATTATCGTTTCACACCAGGGAGTTTGTTAACCTTTGGTATACATGGCTGGGGTTTTTATTATTCTGTGATATGTTGGTTGGTAATGAAAACAATGGTATAAAAATAAAGCTGGGTAAAGGTTCAAAAGTGCCTCCTTTTATCGTGCAGACTCTTCAAAGTCCAAATGCTGCGTATCCAAGCATCAGTGGTCTCATAAATGAAGGGGGTGTACTGCGAAGTGTGCTGTATTGGGTTTCTGTACAGTTTATTGGATGCTATGAAATTGACTCTAGGAAACTAGAGCACAGCCCCTCAAGTGAGCTATATTTGTAATATGGTTTTATTTAAAACCCACGAGGTTTGTTTGCACAAAGAAACCTCTCGGCAGCTTTACTGTATGACTCAGTGTACAGGGAATTTAATAGAACAAACAATTTTTACACCAGCTGCGCTTAGTCAATTCCTGTTGCACACTACGGTTTAGCGTTTATTAAAAGCGTCCAACAGCTAAGACGTAATGTTTTTTTGTTTCTCTCCAGCACGCTTTGCCCCTGCCAGGTTTCTTGTTGCTGGCCAAAGACATTTACAACCAAGGGGTGCTCTTCAGCCAATCAGGTAAGCCCTAGCTGGCCAGGAGTTGCTCAAGGTTTTGGCAAAGTGAAAACCGAACTAGCACGCGAGTTGACGTTCTCTCTTCGCCACTTTCATGTTGTGTCTGAACATTTAGCGCCGGTGACGCTGCCTTGGCTGGACCTGGCCGTGCCGGAGATGTGGCTGATGCTGCTGCTCAACATCATCACCCAGTATCCTTTGTCATTTCGCCCCCCCCCATCTTCACAGAGTGGCAGCTTGGGTCCCTTCCGGCCTCTGGTGCAGTTGAACTGCCTTCACACTAAAATAGCCTGATTTTAACTATGTGGGTGCAATAGCTCTGTACTCCAGTAAATCCGGAGTAGCATGCGGCTCTTTAAGGACTGCTTCATGACAGTTATTTATTAAGGACCCAACGTCTCGTATTCACGTGCATTGCGTCTTTACGAATACAGAGTTTTTTTTGGACCAAAAAAAAAAAAAAATGGCTACTCTTGTTATTTTGGTTGCCCCCAACCCATGCTCTAAGCCTATTTATCCCCCTATAGTCCCCCCCTTACCTTCAAGTCAACCTCTTCCACGGACTTCCTGCTGTGTAAATATGGCAGGCCCTTTAAGCACGTACGCTTTCCTTAAGCGTCCCCTTCGCAGGTACGTGTGCATCCGCGCGGTGTTCGTGCTCACCACGGAGTGCGCGTCGCTCACCGTCACGCTGGTGGTGACGCTCCGCAAGTTCATCAGCCTCATCCTGTCCATCCTCATCTTTAAGAACGCCTTCACGACATGGCACTGGCTGGGCACCGGCGTCACCTTCCTGGGAACACTGCTCTACATCTACACGTCGACCCCCGCCAAAGCACCAGTGTCGGAGAAGCAGAAGGTGCAGTAGAGGCCATGGTAAGGCTCATTGGTGGCAGCTCCCCCCGCCCCCCGGCCCCTCCCCCCGCCATGGGGGGCATTGAAAAGGATGTCAGAGACCCGCACATACTGAACATCTGTGAAAATGAGCTTCATAGCTCATCAGATTTTTCCAATCTAAATCAAGATTCTCATTGTTTTTTTCCCCCCTACAAATATATCTTCCGTTGTGGGAGGGGGCATACATTGTGACCAGTTTGTGTTGAAGGAAAGATTACAATCCAAAAACTGAAATAGCTGTTGTAAAATTGATTTCCATTAAGAAGTAGGAGAAATGGCTCCACTCGTAAAAAAAATCGTGTAAATTTAGAATCTTTGATTTCCGTAACCCAATTGTTTCCCTTTAACAATCTGACTGGCTTGTAAGCTGTGATATCCCATGTTGTTTTTACAGTTGCGTCCTGATAAAGAGCTGTTTGGAATTTTATGCAATTAGGCATGCATACACGATTTAGATTTAAGGTATATTCAGTGCATTCGAAATTAATGTTTTCAACAATATAAAGGATGTAAATATGTTTTACCGTGTTTCCGAGTAGAATACGTGCTTTGGAAGGACATGTATTGTTTTTCAAATCACTTTTAATCAGAAAAATGGCACTTTAAGTAATTTAAAACCATTAATAAAACCATTGCTGGATGAAGGCCCCTCCCCCACGCCTCATTGATTATACTTCAGCACGCTGGTCAGCGTGGGTTGATCACTGGACACCAAGGACTGGCACTTGTGCAACCATTCGAACAAAAAAAGTAAATTTGAATTAAATTTAAAACCAAGTTATGCTTAACTGGTCTGTGTTGCAGTCCATCGTGAGTTTTAAGTCTTAATTTAAAAAAGCATTTAATGTGCCAATCGTGCACGCTCCAGTGATGTTACTGTGGCTTCATTCCTGTATTTCTTCGTGCATGTGACTCATAATTGTAAATGTTTTTTTCCTCATGAACGAAGCTTCAAACTCGTGTCAAATAGCCAAAGGCACAGCATAGGTCCCCATTTACTAGAGTTATTTGTTTTGTTTCTATGGGTTGCATCATTATTTAAGACAGAGAAAAAAATACTTGATAACTGCCTACTGCACAGAAAAAAGTTTATTTTAGATGAATTAGTACAATTATACGCATTAAAGAGTCCTTATGCACATATCTTGTGTGCAGAATAGGAATGCATCGTTGAAATGTGTAAATATACTTTACTTCCCGATAACTTTGAGTCTGTTACAATCCTCACCAACTTGCTGGTATTAACGGCCGTCGGGACCGTACAATGAAACGACAGACATGAACTTCGCACGGCCAGGTTCAGTCAAAGTGAAATTCTGTGTTCTTGGGAGATATCATTACCATCACGAGCGGTAAGGTCAAGGGTCATTGCCATATGAGGCAAAGTTCTCTCGTACACGCACAGGGTTGTGCACTTTCTGTTGCCTGCGTTTGCAGGTGTGCACTTGTGTTATAGCGCATGAGCCGAGGGCTTGGTCGGTACCACCTGAGGTGGAAAATTCTGTTGGTATCCACCATGGGCAGAAATCTTAGCGTGTATAGAGTCTTTCGCATACGCACTGCCTAGATGTTTGCATGTTCGGAAAATGCGTTTTCACTTTTTCTTTCCCCCAAAAGAATATTTCCTGTCAAATATGTATATACAGTAAAACCTTGGATTGCGCGAGTAACTTGATCTGCGAGTGTTTTGCAAGACGAGCAAAAATTAACTAAATGTTAATTTGATAAACGAGCGAGGTCTTGCAATACGAGTAGTACGTGTATACGCTTTGTCTGCCGAGCGTCACGTGATCACAACTGATATACGAGTGCTTTGGATTACAAACACGTTTCTGGAACGAATTATGCTCGCAATCCAAGGTTTTACTGTACCAGTCTTTTACCGTTTTTTCTTCAGAAAAGGCAACCACGGTGACCTTGCTATCACACGTGTTTGTAATGCAGAGATAAAATACTAAAACAACACAGTGGTTAGCATTCGCCATCCTGGGTGGTACCGCTAAGCCATTTGTTGGCCAATGGCTCAAGGGCTGTTAGGTTTGTGTGTGAAAGTGTGATGCTGTAATAGGGGTGATTGAAAAGTATGGCCTGACTTGGGAGTGGTTGAACGACAAAGGATGAACGTTTAGTTAGAAATACAGAATTTTAAAGGATTAACAATATTCATTAAAACTGATTTTCACTCCCATTTGCCAAGGTATTTTGATTATGTTTTAACTGAAAACTTAATTACAAAAAAATCCAGAATAATGTGTCCGTCCAGGTAATTATTGTAAGGCTGCATCTCATTATTATCACCAATTGTCAAGTCATGATGTACTTTTATACCTATGTGCACATACTATTGCTTGAACTGGAATGCAGTGTTTGTATGCTGCAATGTTTGGTCAAGAGGTCGTCATTTTGCACTGAATCCTGCAGTGCTTGCCAGAATTGTCCAGCGATTTACATCCGATCGATTCCCAAACTCTGCCCGCAATGGCCTAATAATGGTCGCTGGCTATGTATAACTGTATGTGGCGTAAAGCGCACGTCTAATAAAGTTCACGCGTAAGTGTTCTTCCTCTCAAAGCCTGAGAACAATGAGACTGATATAGTTAATGACCGTCAAAAAGTTCAGGATATATTAGTCTGTGTTGTAATTTATGAGTGAATAAATATCAAGTCTAATATACATTACAAATCGTACTCTTTAATAATGGACTGTACTGCTTGTGCACTAAGTCTAAAAAACGAAAGCCTCAAGTTGCTTTCATTCACTGTTGACCATCGCAAACAAGAAGCTTGATGATTACGCTGGTAAGTTCATCTTGATGACGGTGACGACGAAAGGCATGTGATGACTCGTCACCCCGCACGATTCCATGAACGGTCACAATCTGACATCCATATTCGATGCAAGTCTATTTTTTTAATTCCTCAAGTGCATGAACCAGTCACATGAACACATGAATATAAAGCATGTGGGGATTTAAAATAATACATTTTTACATGCCCAATGCATGTATTCTGAGGGCAAGAATCTAATGGAATTAATGATGCATCACTATGTGCCCGATTGATAGCTAATGAAAGTGCTCGAAGGCCAATAACCAAATCACCTGAAATGGGGCCCAATTTCATATCTCAAGCGAAGCAGGTTTATGCCTGGAGAGTGCATAGATTGGTCGGCCACATGAATAAAATTGGTGTTTTAGACTGCTGCAGAGCTACGTTGCGCAAAGCAGAGGTGAATCCGCCAAAATCCATTGTACTGTATTATGCTCCCACATCTATGCTCTCTGCCTTCACCAGGCCGTACTGACCAGTGTGGTGAAATATGGTCAAATAATTGCCATCTAGCAGTGTAATGACATTGTACACAAACAGTGACGACGATTCTACACGAGTCTGACACAACCTATCCAGGCACTCTTTCCAGTACTAACACTACGGCCATGTAAACTCTCAACAATATCCTCACTATCGTGCCAAACCTTAAGTTTGCAAGATGCACCATCTCACCTGCCGACTGGATTCCACGCTTCAAATCAGGAATCAAAGTGAGCGTGGGTGACGGGGGTGGGGGACAGCGTGGGACGTGAGGGTGCTTCCACGTGATGATAAGCCACTTTGTTGAGATTCGTGGGCAGGTCACTTCTGAAAAAGAGCTACATAGCTCAGTGGGGCCTTACCTGTTGAAGTAAAATAAAAGTTTATTTTATTGCGGAGACGCGTTGTCGCCCTCTTCAACACGGCCGGCCGGGATGGGCGGCAGCACAGGTTTGGGTGATGGGGGCGCCTCGGGCTCGCGCGGCGCACGGAGCGCCTCCACCACCTCGCTGGGGCGAGGCCGGGGGGCCAGCGGTCCGCCTTCTGACTCTGTCGGGCGGCGTGGTTCACGTGGGGGAAGCGGGCAATCGAGTCAAAAAAACAGACACGCGTCGAGCGGAATTAACTTGGGCGATATTTTTTTTTATAAAAGTTTAAAAGTGCAACCCTACAATTTCTTGTTCATGCCACTGCTGGCAGAAAGGCCTCGTCTAAAGAGCTCACTTTAGATGGTAACTGACGCTTCCTCACTGGTCAGACATTGAAAAAGATGGGAACGCACAATCAGAATATTTATACTGGAGGAATCCGATGAGAGTATGAATCCTTGCAGTCACGAAAGCTTCAAATCTAGAAGCTATAAAGCTCTTTCACATGTCCACTGGGGGCGGATAAGAACGTTACAACAAACATTACAAAAACATCGTGCAAAGTACAAGAAAGGTAAACATCAACCAAACACTAATAAAACTAAACCATCCCCCATCCCACCTCACCATACGTGACCTGCCAATCAACTAACTGTGGTCCAACCCTTTATGCTGCTGGATGGAAATAGGCGGGGGATTTAAAAATACTGTATAATTTTTTAACTGCCGCAAAGGGAGATCAAATTGGCGATCTCTGAACTGCTATTACGCTACGGAAGCATCGTTACATGTTGCATCCATACTTGAAGTCCTATGACCAGATCAACTGGAATGTGCCCGATCTTGTCAGAACTCGGAAGCTCGGCAGGGTTGCGCCCGGATAGTGATAGTATGGACAACCACCTTGCACAGACAAGCTAAGCAGGGCTATATAGTGAGCAGCAGAGGGCAGTGTAGCAATAGCCATTGTTACTGTGCTCTGTTCCAAATCCTATATCTGCACTGCCCAGCGTGGTGAAGTATGATCTAACAGCCGCAATGACAGCATATGAATGCCCTCATCCAACAGTGGATTTATAAAATGTATGTACATGTACACATATACACAACGAGAAATAGCCTAAGTGCCTTTCCTGCCAAAAGTACATTTTATAAATTACACAATCAAAACGTGTCTCCCCAAACATTAACAAATTTTGTTCCTTGCTATGGACAGATCTGATTTTTTTTTTTATTCAACATGGCCATCAACAAACAAAATGGGAAAAAAAGCTGAAAGGTAGCCGAGAACGCAAGTGAACATACAAGACGCGCGTCCTGGTCCTCGCTCACAAACACGTACCTGTGAGGCTGCGGTCCGAGCGGCTCAGAGCTCTCACGTCCAGCGATTCTACCTGTCCATCCCCACCACGCTGCAGGGCCAGACCGCCGCCATCCCCGCAGTCATCGTCGTCATCTTCATCGGCGGCGTCCAAGTCGCCTTCACGGTGGCTGTTGAGGCCCGAGAGCGAGGCAGTCCACTCATCCGACGCGCCGTCCGACAGGGCTCTGGCCAACGACAGCTCCGTGGAGCCGAGGCTCACCTGAGACCCCAGAGGCCTTGCGAGTGCAACGTAGGGACAATAAGTCAGAAAGTGAGCCCATTATTGTACTCTTCATTCAATTGTAGATTATTGCTAAGACAAGGTACCAACATGTCTGGCAGGTATTAATTCTAGATTTGAAGCTTTCGTGACTGCAAGGATTCATATTCTTAGGTGTTTTCGGTAAAGTCACGTAGGTAAAAAATTAAAATTAATAAAAGTGAAATAAAAAATCACGACGTTTCGGAGGCAACACAAGTCTCCGTCATCAGGTGGACCGTCACTTGATACAGTAAATTTAGCTGCCCCACCCACACAGCAAGTGGCCCACCACTCTTTCTGACATTGGTCCCACATACGACTCAGGTCGTGTCGCTACTCCCTCGATATACCCCGCCCACTACTTAGGTAGCCACACCCAAAATAATCATGCCAACTCCACAATGGAGGACCCTCCTCGTATTCTAAAATGCAACGTAAAAATGTGCCTATGATGTATCCCAGGCTGAGAATATACACGTTAAAGTTAGTGAATTGCTTAACTGCAAGCGTACTTGTGATGCCACTGCCTTGCTGCTGTCATGGCATGTGTGACAGCAATGTTGCACCGATTTCGCCAGTGCCATAATGACACGTGACAAGAGGGCCCAGGACAAACAGCCAAGGTTGGGAACTCTCGGTTTAGAGTGGTTCAGACTTTGGATTGCATCTTCTCTTATAATATATTTAGGATACAACGATTGAGCAGGGTTTATGGCCATTTATATTTACGCAATCCAACCCCAAAAAAACTCTATTATGGATAATATTGGTTGCGAAAGCCTACACGTTAAACTTATGAACAAATCACCCAGAATGTGCCGATATCATCAGATCTCGGAAGCTAAGCAAAATTGAGCCTGGATAGTGGTTCGATTGGTGACCAACAAGCACACAACTGGCGTTATAAGCTGCTGTTAGGCTACCGTTGTCAGCAGACAGAAGCCCAGCAAGATGCCTTTGCCTTACTATGCCATGCTCTATGCCTCCATGATCACCAACCGGCACAGACCAGCGTGAAGTGTGGTCAATATCCCACAGTACTCACACAGCATGAGGAGGCTGCCTTCATACAGCAGTGGATCGACAAGAGCTGTACATTTACACATAAGAGGTGACACACAGATTATGGGTGTGGACATGTGGCCCCACTGGAACGTTACCTTTTGCCTGTGTTGGCACCATCGGTGTGGTTGGCAGAACGAGTGTTGGCACCCAACAGTGTGGCAGGTGCTGACTTGGGACCACTGCACGTTTGCCACAATCGTGCATCGTCATTAGGTCAATTACAACCTCAAATGTGAATGCATTTATAGAGAAACATCATTTATTAAGCAACTTTTAAAAAATCCACGTAACAATTAAAATCCGCAAACCCCTACCCACCGTCAAAAGCCTGGGGCAGTAATTTGATGAACTGTCAAGATTTGGGGTCAGAGTCCAGCAGAGTATATATGCACGGAAAGGCACATGCTCAATCTATGAATTGAACAATAATGCATACGCACGAATTTTGTAACGCCTTCCAACATTAATTTGTCTTCGGATGTATTTAAATAGCAAGAGAAGTTCCGTCTTGCTATTTAAATACTGGTTTTGGGAAGTCCTTTGATCCAGTTGGCCACAACTCTATTAAAAAAGAGTTTGGAACGCAGTGGTTCAGCTTTACGAGTTATCGTGCCCGCACTCTCCATTATGGACAAACAGGCAGAAACAGCAAATGCATAAACACTTTCAACCTTAATAGTAAATTGTAAAAAAATATAATATTAAGGATATTATCGAAACAAGGTACAAAAAAACCAAGTAACGTGACAGTTTAATATATATCTACAACCCATCTTACAAATGTAAAACTGTCTGCAAAGTACAACTACAAATCCCACAGAGTAATCCATACGCGGGCACCAATCCGTAGCTCAGATGGCTTGTGGAGATATTTTCACGAGCGGATTCTTCTTCTTGCGTATGGTCATGTGTTCAGGAACTAAATACCACTGTTGAGGTCTGCTCCTCATGAGAGGGCTTCACAGTAGAGAGCTCGTGTAGATTTGCTGTATCTAAATCATATCTGGATCATATTAAACAATGTCCGTTTAGCCAAGCGGATACTATTTATGGATGTAAACTTGTGAATGACAAAGCCTCAGAGCGCACCTGCCCAGGAGCTTGGAGTTGGCACTGAGAGCCTTTCCTGTTACAGCGTCGCGTGCTGCCTGTTGGCGAACCAGGAGAGATGCCTCCTCCTGCAAACAAAATGGACAAATATCATCGCCAGGTTACACAGCTGAAGCTGGTATTTTTTGCACGTATGTTCAGCCTTTTTGTGAACACACTGCTGGATGAGGGCCCTCCCTAAACCGCGCAGGCCGTGAGGGTTATTTGACCATACTTCACCACGCTGGTCAATGTAGGTTAAAGGTGGGGAGCACAGACCTTGGGAGCATCGAAGTACAGTACAAGCATGATTTTTGCTGCACTGCCATATGCTGCCTACAACGTAGTCCCATAACAGTCTATAACACCTATTTAATATAACTTGGTCAACCATCAAATTAATAACCCTGCTTTGCTTCTAAGATCTGGCGAAATGAGGTGCATTTCGGGTGATTTGGTTATAGATTTATTTCTGGATGTACAACACATACATAACATTGTATAATAAACAATTATAAGAATCCAAAAATCTGGTTCAGGAGGGAGATCAAGACACAAGAAAGTGAAACAATACAAACGAGACAGAAAATACAAGACAAAAAAATTTGTATATTCTTGAAATGAATCATGACCACGAGCCATGGCAATTCATTAAATCACAGGGGAGGGAATTAATTGCTACAACTAAAGGCCTTTGCTAATCCACTGCTGGATGAGGGCCTTATTACAAGTCCAGAAATTTGGTACTGCTGGCATATGAGTGGAGAAACAAACACACAAGAATGAATCACGTCTGACAAATAGATTCAACATTTTAAAGTGGAGAAAACAGTTTTTTTCTATATACATTAGGTTACAAATATTTCACCATAATAATTTTGTATTTTCAACTGTCCATACTTTAGAGCGTCAATTAGATGTTTTTTTGACTCTCCACCATAAATGAGAACCGAGTGGAAGCTGGGCTAGCGCAATGTGGCCCTTTTTGTCAACCTCACTCTACGCGTGGGGCGGTACCAAAGGCGTGAGCTGGGGCTGCATCTTGGACTGCAGCCTGGACAGGTACTGCATGTTCTCGCGCGGCTGGGGCGATGGGCCCTTGGTCCATGTGAGACGCGAGAGGGTGGCAGAGGTCGGTCGATCGCCTGTGCTGCCGAGGAGAGGCGGCACCACGTGACCCGCGTCCTGGTGTGCTGACTCGGCCCCTGACTGGGGCGGTTCCAGACCCATGTACTGGCACATGAGCTCACGCAGCTTGGAGTAGGCCACCTCCAGGTCATCTGTGGCAATTCAATCCAGGAACATGACAAAGGTGGTTCGACAGTAATGAAGGCTGTGAGAGCAGTGGTATGGTAATTTCTTAGAGACCAATCGCAATACCTCCATGCTGCCGGAATTCAGCAGCTCGTGGGCTGCTGGGACAAGAGGGTGACGATGTGAAGCAATATTCAATGCATCATGTTGATGCTAACAAGTGTTCTCTGAAAAATACATTTTGTACTTTACTTTTTGCGTAAATCGGACAACTTGTACTCTTCGGACACATCGCACTTGGACATATCAAAACTGTTTATAAAACCCTGAAGTTCAGCAGCGACATCTTAAAGCCCGAAAGATAACTACCGATGTCTGGTCAGGCAGACGTCCCTCAATGACCCGTCAGAGACATTGCGGTAGCCATCAAATCGTCAGTGACTCCGCAACTGCTACTGTCAATGAAACATGGGAAAAGGCCATATGCAGATCAGGTTATCACAGATCAATGCAATGGACCTCTGCTGTCCAAGCAAATCGATGGATGGATCTTTGCTTAATGAAATACTCTCAGAGTACATGAACAACAACAACAATTGTGGCCACCGATCATCCAAACGTACAGAGTGTGGGCGGACTAGCATCAGTAAAATTTGGAACGAGGCCACAAGCAGAGCTCAACGCGAATCATTGCAAAGGACCCAAGCTCTCCACACTATTTGAACATAGACCCAATAGGTCCAAATGGTCAAACGGCCAACAACAAACAAGAATATCAAATATGTACTAGATAAGGGTCATCATGTTTCTTGAATTGAGCAAGGTTATCAGAGCTTGCGAAAATAAACGACGAGAGGGAATTCCCAAGTCGAGCAGTGCAAGGGAATAAGCAGGAAGAGAAATGTTTTGAATTAACGGCTCGTTACTTACCAAACATTTCCCGGAGTTAAACGAACACTACCATCAAAACAAACACCAAAAGGCACAAGGTGCCCTCCGTATGCTATGTACGCACGTTGAACTTCTTTTGCACCGTACGTAGCTGTCACCTGAGACGATGACTGCGTCGAAGAAGCCTGGCATATCCTGGTTGACGGCGAGGCAAGCGTCCAGGCCGGCGAGCGACGCCTCCATCTGGGACTTGTCGTAGAGTCCACGCTGCAGCAGCCGTCTCTCATAGCGCTTCCGGTCCAGGGGCACGACCAGCAAGTAGCGAGGCTCGAAGTACGTCCGCTTGAGGCTACGCGCTCCCTGCATTGGCCGCAACGCATTCCTATCCATCATCACGTCATTTGTCTGCTAAACAGCTGCTAATAATCAAAGAGTAAAAGCTGAATGTAAGCACTCACTTGGGAGCTAGACCAGCTGAGCCTATATCCGAAGTAGTCTGCTTGTATCAGAAGTCACATGTGTTGCTTGTTTGAGAACTGTGCTTATATATGTGCGTTTTTATTCAGGTATCAATTCACTACTGGATGAAAGCCTCCCCACATTGGGTTGACCAAGTGGGTTGTTTGAACATACTCCTATCACTCTAAGGCACTGAGGGTTGGTGAATATGAGATGGCCCAGGGTCTGGGTTCAGATACACTCGCCATTGATGTTAGCCATGGCTGGGAATGAAACTGCAGTCACCAGGCTCATGGTGCAGTGTGATATCCACTGCGCCACCACTCCACGCCACAATTGCGAGATGTTGACTCCCTTGCCTGGCATGAGGTCGTGGGATCGATCCCAACCCTGATGCCTGTATATCTGGAGATTGTGTGTCTCTCCCCATGGTCACGTGGATTTTTCTGCGGGTCCTCCGATTTTTTCCTTCCACATTTAGAATCAACGTGCATTTAGAGTATTTGGCTGCTATAAATTTCCACGTAATAAGCCACTTTGTTGAGCTATCATTTGTGGCCAGGTCACTTCTGAATAAGAGCGATATAGCTCAGTGCGCCTTATCTAGTAAAATAAAAATAGTTTAGTTTAGTATTTGTACACCCACTACAAATACAGCAACTTAACTTCACGTGTTTTTTTTTTATGTGACAGGCTGTTAAGATGATTCCGATGTATTTTCCGGATCTGTCAACAGCAGTGAACCCACCACGGGTAAAAGCAACGCAACTACCTGGTCCATACCTCCAGCTCCATGTGCACGGCACACGCCAGCCCATCCCTGGCAAGAGCTTCAACATCCTCGATGCTCAATCCGTAGCTGTGCCCGTCGTACTTCTCTGTTTGCAGAAACTTTCCCTGCAATCAAAGTTCCAAAGAATCAGCGTAAGTTCCTGGCATGGCGTGGCATGGCGTGGCGTGGCAAGCGTGGAGTGTTGCTGAGATACGTGAACTTTATTTATGAGCGGTTGAGAGCCGACAGCCTCCGACCAACTCAAGTAAAAAAACTACATTTAATGTGACGGGGTTTTGTTGTGCCCTCATTGGTGATTGGGCTGAGACCAACTAATTCACTACATTTAATAACCCAGTTGAATCACCTTTGTGTCTGCCCAGATTCAAACCCAGGATCTCAGCAGTAACAGCCGAGTACTGACCCCTAAAAATGTACTCTGGTTCATAGAATATCATCAACACTTTCAGCACAACACCATTCCAAACTGCTCATTTCACACATAATATGAACACATTTGGCTGAAATATTTTTAGACTGGTGATGACGTAAGCAAATGCCTTACATCACAGACTAGCCTCTCAAAGGTCTCCTTGGTCACAAAGTGGTAGTCTTTTCCATCCTGCTCCCCAGGGTAGGGACTTCTGGTCGTGTGGGAAACACTGCAGAAAGCAAACCATAGTGGGGTTAGTGAGTGGTCATCACTTATCCAATCACGTGTACATCCCTTTGTCTATTCACTGCTAGATAAAGGCCCACCCGCACCGTACATGTTGTGGGGGTTATTTGAATAGACTTCACCACGCTGGTTATTGCAGGTTGGTGAAGGTTGGGAGCATGTACGGGGGAGCACAGACGTACAAGATAGCAATGCATTCTGCTGCACTGCCTGCTGCTGCCCACCACGTGACCCCAAAGCAATGTATAACAATCACTGTGCATGGTGGTCACCCATCCAAGACAATTCAGGCTCAAGCCTGCTTAGTGTCCAAGATCTGAAGAAATTGGATGCATTCCAGGCGATTTTCTCAAACGCACTTCAAATCACTTAAAATGTCACTAATTGCTTTCAGTAGCTGCAAAGCAAGCAATAAAGAGAAAAGTGTTTCAGAACTCAGCATTGTGAAGTAATTTTTACCAATGAAACAATGTGCTCATGGTCCCTTCACAATCCTGAGCCAGTGTAAATTCCACATCTCCATGGCAGATACAAGTCAATAATTGTTTAAAGGCTGCTGTATGTATGTTGAACTTCTTTCGCACCATACGTAGCCAACCGTGCGAATCGCAGGAGCAGACCTTGCCAATCGGAGGCTGCTAAATAAGGCACAAGGGACTCTGAGAAACAACAACAGAAACAGCCGGAAGAAGTGAGCGCACGATCTTGACAGCCACTCACTCAGTGCCCGATTACACTCACCCATAGCCCAAAAATTCGCAGAATTCGCGGCAGATGCGGTGATTGAGCTCGCGCTTGCCGGACGCCCTGGGCCCCGTCAAAACGACCATGGGGTACGGCGTGTCCAGCGACGGCAGGGTGCTGCGAGTGGGAGGCACGAGTAATTGCGTCTCGAGGGCGGGCATGAAGGAATGCAACAGAGAGGCTTTGGAAGGGGAAACAGACTGACTATTTACATGTACATTTTCCACTGATCTGCACACTAAACTAAACTATTACATTATTTGAAGACGATAAACTATGATAGCTCAACGAAGTGGCTTATTACATGTAATTTTCAGAAGCGAAATACTCTAAACACGCTTCTAAACATGAAGGAAAAAACTGGAGGACCCGGAGAAAAATATATGAGACCATTGGGAGAATATGCAAACTGCAAATATACAGGCATCAAGGTCGGGATCGAACCCACGACCTCCGGCATACAAAGCGAGGTAGTTAACATCTCACCACCGTGGCACACATTTCCAGATTCCCTTAACCTTATTTCAGCATCTAAGCTATATTGCCTCAAAACAGTCATAGAACACATATGATTTGGTGAGTCTGTATATTATTTGTCCCGAAGAGTAGTGCATTGCATTATTCGGTAAATTCCACAAATGATTGTTGACGTGTGGGAGGAAACTCAGGAACCTAGAGAAAACTTGAAAGGGGATAATGATGAAAATTCCACAAAAGACAGATTCAGGAACCCATTTGTTGTGCTGCAATTTCTTGACCACCTTGCAACTGAACGTGTTTAGAAGCTTCACATATCCACGTGACCCACCAACCTTCGCCTTGAGAGCACAGGGTTACAGACGTGCGATCTTAAACATTCAGTTATCGACAGCAAAGGCACAAACTGGACCCGATCCATGCTGGGCCTTGTATGGCACCACACAACTCGAGTCCTGTTCCATGGTGCAGATCTGTGAGCTCGGCCCCTCCCCTCAATCCACCGCACCCCTCCCTTGTGGCTGGAAGGAAGTGATTTAACAAAACGAGGTTGCAAATATGTTTGGGTCGGCTTACACTATCTTAAGCGTAATTTATTTTTTATTTTTTTGGTGCACGATCAAAAGCATGGCCCCGAGGTTAATCTATTCGATAGATGCCAGGGGTGGAGCAGTGGTCAGAAGACTGTGAAATGAAGCCAGCATGCCGAGTTCAATTCCAGGCCGCAGCCTACATCAGTGGAAAGTGGTGTGTGAACCGGTCCTGGGTCCACCTTCCCCATAGTTACATTTTTGAGCTTTCGGGAGAGTGCATTTTTTTTGTCCAATTTATTCTTTTTTTTGTTTTCCACCCAAAAAACCCACTAAATGCAGGACACAGGATATGCACCCGTGCTGTTTGAAGGACACTTCAGGTTAGACTATAACGACAATAATTCTATGTTATTTTGACGTATTTTAACTTATCCCTATCTTGAGACAGAAATATTTGTTTTATTTCATGTGTGACCAAAAACAAGAGGACAACAATGCAGTTGTTCAGAAACGGTTGATGATGCTTTTTGCATAACATGCAAAGGCCGAGTGCTTTTCGTACACATTTTTTGCGTGTTGTGTTTGTTTGAAACCTGTGGAAGTGAGACCTACCTGTCAAGAACTCTTTGTGGCTGCAGCGTGCTATAAACCACCTGGATCACGTGGTCCCGCGCAGCTACCATCTCCGGAGAAGGGTTAAACCTGTTCACAGCAGCCACCTCGCACAATACACACACACACACCTATTAGTCCTCTTCTTCTATTAATCTTCGTTGAGACAATAAGAAATTGACTGGCTATAAACTGACGGGTGTCCTGGAACAAAGTTGATCATCCATATAGTTCGTAAGATAACCCACTGGAACACTTTACGATCACACATTTGTTAGTGTTCTTTTTTACAGTATCATCTCCCCACAAATAGCAGAACGTTGATCTAAAGTTATTTACTTTTCTCGCCCACTTAATCTGTCTACTCTTAACAAAAGTTTGCTTCCTGGGTAATACAATTGTGGTTTATAAAAATATATATTTCTGGGACACTTCTCAATTAAATACTTGTGTAAAAAACTACTCCATGAGGGTGTATTGCTATAACCTATCTCAGCGAAATTTCGGTAACATTTTTGTAGTTAATGGAGCATGTCTCTGACCATCAGCCACAATATTTTCATCCCAGATTGTTCCACTAGATGACAGACGTATCACATGATCAATAATGGGAGCAACCCTTGCACAACTGTACATTAGAAGAGCAGTGAGTTGTTATTATTAATAAATACATACTTCATGTATACTGGTTGGCTTGTACACTTGTGATAATTGTTTAAAATAATGATGCATTGCATATACCAGGTCGCCAACTTCCATTGTTTTATTGCAATTCTGCATTCCCACGTCTATTCTCCCTGCCTTTCCAACCTGTATTGACCAGTGTGGTGAAGTATGGTCAAATAACCAACATAACCCCTATGGTGAGGGGAGGCCCTCATTCAGCAGTAGATTTACACACAAAGTGTGTACATCTAAAATGTACATCTAAGTTTAGATTTTCTTTTCAATTAAATATTGTCGTAAATATTAAAATCATGAAAAGGGTGTTGGATGTGTTCGACCCGGCCCCTCACCTTCTCCTCCACGGTGACCCGGCGGAGGTCAAGCTCCACAAGCATCTGCAGCTGGAACACGGCGGCGATGCGGTGCCCTGGACTCTCCTGCTCTCTCCCAGATGGCCGGCATGTGGCCACACAGTGGAACAGTGGCGTACACTCCTCAATACGTATTTTCATTATACCAGTGTTCTTCATTGCAAGGCCCGCAGGCCACTGGCGGCCTCTGATGTCTTGCGGCCTCCAACAATACACAAATGTGAAAACACCCCATTGTGCTGTCAAACCCAATGGTTTCAAATGTGTGGCAGCCTTCAAAGTGATGTCTTATCGCCAAAAGTGTCTCTCCCTCTGAAAATTAGTGAAGAACACTATATTATACGGATGCCTTTAACAATGTAATTAGGTTATATTCATACTTTTTTTTTATTTCAAATGTAGCAAATTATAGTGTATGAGTAACCAGTGAGCAGAATGTTCCCAATTGTGTGTGGGATTATATACTTGGGGAGAGAAGTGTCACAGTAGCTACCACACTGCACGATTAACCCGCAAATCCTGAGTTTGAGTCCTGGCCACGGTTAACATCAGCAGTGAGCGATTTCCGCACAGGTTCTGGCTGAATTTCGATTTAAAGCTTTCGTGACTGCAGGGATCCATCTTCTTGGTTCTTTCGGTAAAGTCACGTAGAAGGGAAGCAATAAAATAATAAAAATAAAACATAATAAAATATTTTATTATGTTTTATTTTTATTATTTTATTTTACCGAAAGAACCAAGAAGAAGGTTCTGGCTGCCTTCAACAACCCGCACTGACCACAGTGGTCAAATACAAACAACCCCTATGATTGAAAAGGCATGGGGAGACCCAAATCCAGCAGTGGATTTAACACACGGGAAGTAAAATTAAATACATACACATATGTAATGACTCACGTATACACACACAGAAGCCTACAGCTTGAATAAATGGTCAAGATATTGGAGTCCGTGCTTAACCAATCATAGGGGTTGGTATTATATAAACAAGGGGTGGCCCCATTCAACCCCATCTATTCACTGACATGTGCTAGCCACACCTCACAGTCCACTCTGTACACAGCAATATTTTCATTACACCTCTCCCCAACACAAAGATGACAACGGTAGTCTTAATACTCTTTGGTTCTTTCGGTAAAGTCACGTAGGTAGAAAATAAAATAAATCACGACGTTTCGGGCGGAAACACAAGCGTCCGTCATCAGGTGGGAAAGATGACGGACGCTTGTGTTGCGCCCGAAACGTCGTGATTTATTTTATTTTTTGTTTTATTTTATTTTCTACCTACGTGACTTTACCGAAAGAACCAAAGAGTATGGATTCCTGCAGTCACGAAAGCTTCAAATCAAGGTCGTCTTAATCTAGAATTGAAGCTTTCGTGACTGCAGAAATTATACTGTTTTTTTTCGGTAAATTTTATTTTATTTCTACATACGTGACTTAACCGAAAAAACCAACGAGTATAACGGTAGTCTTATAAATTATAACTCGATGTGCAATTCTTATAATCAATATATTATACACTGTAAATTTTGTATGGCTTGTTGTCATTCCACTGCTGGATCAATGCCTTCCCATGCGAGTCGGTCATGTGAACCTATGCAATGCACAGATTAGTTTGTGACGTATGTGTGCGTGCTATTGTACAAACCAAATAAACTATACGGTGTGCTGTGAGTCTGTCCACCCATCCCACCACTGCCCCTCCCCATTCCTCACGACAGCTTCACAAAGTGTGAGATTTCACTTGGTACGCGGCAGGGAACCTCTCCAGCCGTGGGGTGGCGCTGCTGCGCTGTGTAACCGTGCACACGCACTCGATAAATTGTTGTGTTTTTTATACAGAAACTACTACAATGGGACTGCATGTCAAAACACAGTACAATCCAAATAATCATAATTGAGTAGGAAAATACAGAAAGTAATTTTATGTAAATAACTTCTACCAAAGATCCATTGCAAATGGACTAAAATAATGTTTATCCAACAGATGAATCTCATATTCTTAGGTTTTTTCGGTAGTCACGTAGGTAAAAAAATTAAAATTAATAAATGTAAAATAAAAATAAAATAAAAATCACGACGTTTCGGAGGCAACACAAGCTTGCGTCTTCAGGTGATGAATCTCAGCTCAACTCAAGGAACGTCATCTCTCCTTACCTGCTGCTGCCCCATCACCTGAAATTACATCTCGATCCATCTGCAATGCCAACTCCTTTGCACTGTACAGGTACAAGCCGAAGATTCATCAATTCCTCTTTGCCTCGTTCCTCGTAGTGTTTTCATTCACACCTAACCATAATTGCATCTCATTTTGCTCGCTATCTTATTGCACTCCATCCCTGAAGAAAATAACCTTAACAACAACTTACCTTTCCTATTTCCTCTCAAACCACACCCCCCCTCCCCCTTTGCATGCAAAAATTGCGATGCGGCCACATTTAGACACTTGAAAAATCACAAATTATATTATTGGATCTCCTCCAAACCACGTGAAATGATTTTACAATTTACAATGCAATTTGGAATTACATAGCATCTAAATGCAACTGCATCTTAAGACTGTAGAGAAACAACATATTTATTTTAGAGAGAGAATCAGCCATAGGTAGAAGGGAAAATCGAATGTCTTGAGCCTATACTCGAACTGGTCAGGAAGTCGACAGCATGGATGGCAGGGGAAAAGGAGTTCCAGATAATGGGCACCAACAGTGAGCAACATCTCACTGAATGAAGGTTGACTGGGAATTTCAATAAAAAGTTGACAAATTATGACAATACCACTTCAAGGGATAGTGTTGGAATAACTGCCGGCCAAGCATCTTGTTGATTTAGAAGTTTGAGATGTGAACGTAAAATGAATGGAAACGAGTACTCGGGTACTCGCTCACCTGCACTGGGTTTCGCAGCAGATTCAGCACCCTCAGTAGTGACAGGTCCTTAATGTACTTCACCTCGGCCAGTTCCGTGACCTGCAGACATCAAAGCCGACCAGTCAAATGCACATCCACTCGCAATGATGTTCATTATGAATGTAACAATTCATGGATTAAGATCAATTATAATCATTAGACTCATGGCACATGCACCGAACTGCACATGCACTAATTGTAATTGTTACATGGGTAATTTCACAATTAGGGAACCTCAGTCTTAAATGTCAGATTCATCCTAACACTGTATTCTGAAGGTAGTTATCTATAGCAGCAGTCACCAGGGACCGGTTTCATGGAAGACAATTTTTTCACGGAACCAGGGGGGGGGGGTTCAACATTGGGTCTTTCCTCCTTTTTAAAGAAGCTCTCCAGCGACGTTTGTTTTTTACTCATTTTGGCTACGGGTTAGAGCTTGTGGGCTCACCAAAACTGTGACTGAGACAAGTGCGCAGTGCGGGAAATAGGCGCGGACGGAAGTGGTAAATAATAAAACAATGGGGGCGGGCCACGCGCGGACTCGCCGCTCACCTCCTCCTGTGCGGCCCGGTTCCTAACAGGTCACGGACCGGTACCGGTCCGCGACCCGGGGGTTGGTGACCCCTGGTCTATAGCTTTTGAAAATATGGATTATATATGGGAGTCAATAGTTTGACACATGAACGAAGCTGAATGCATCGTCAGCTTCCCAGCACAGATGAAAATGTTACTACGTTCCACGCCGTGGTATTTTACGAGCATTTATCTCTTATCTAAAATATGAAGAAAGAAACACCTTTATTTCTCAAATATATTTTTTATTGGGTGACATACTATGCCCAAGTAAAAAGCCACATAATTAATATAAGAATGATTAGCCATAAACTTTGAAGTGTCTGGAATGTATTTCTTCAAAATAGTGGAAATTCCCATTTATAGAGTGACTGGGTGACTGATGAAAATTATAATGATGTCAATACAGTTGTTTATAGTTACATTTTATGATTTTGGCCCAAAATTTTGAAATAAATATACATTGAATCATGGACGGGCTGAATTATCACATTCCTTTGGCTCATGTAAAGCTCTCAGAGGAAGATTGGAAAGGGATACTGTGGCCAGCATTCAGGATAGCCAACCGTGATAATAGGGAGTGTGGTTGGGGTTATGAACTGTCCAAATAACCTGGAATGTGCCCAATCTTGTCAGATCTCAAAAGCTAAGCCGGCTAAAGACTGGAAAGTGCTTAAATTGCCAACCACAATGCATATGTATGATCATCATTCATATAGGCTGCAGGACTAAATGTGGGACAGCAGAATGCAGTTCAGCTAAATTAATTGTTGTATGATACTTCTATGCATCTCACCTTCACCAACCCGCATGGACCAGCGTTGTGAAGTATGGTCAAATAACCTCCACAACCCCCATGGTGTAGAGAGGCCCTCATCCAGCCAGCAGTAGAATATGTATGAGATGCCATAGGGTTAGGCTATATAGGTGCCACAGACCTGATTCCCTTCCATGTCCAACTCCTGCAAGCGGTAGTGTCCCTCCAGTCCCTTGAGGCTCCGTATCTTGTTGCCAGACAGGTCCACTTTCTCGAGCTTCCAGAGTTTTTCCAAACCTGTTATTTTTCTTAGGTGGTTGCCTCTCTAATGAACACAATAACATCCTGTATATTTAAATTCCGAAGGGGTAATAAACCCCCCCCCAGGTTATGCATTTCAGTGTCGCACAGTGTTGTCTTTAAAAACACGACGCTTCGATACGTTTCCGTGCAACCTGCACCAACAAACGTTGGAAGTGGACAATACGCAGACACACAGCTATCCCGGAAAACGGGACAATCGTCCAACGCACCAGACAGAGATAGCGCAGGGGAAGGCTGCCCAGCCCATCGAGACGCCGAATGCGGTTGTGTGCGAGGCTTAGATAAGCCAGGCTGCCGCACTCCTCCAGGCCGATGATTTCACTGATGTTGTTGTCTGGCAGGGCAGACGGCGGTTGAGGAATAATAGCCAAATGGAGTTGAAACAAACCAAGATATGGCCTGCATAAAGAGACAATATTAAATACCAAAAGAAGAATTACAGTATAGTATCTGTACAAAGTGTAATGCTACATCAATTCATCGATGAAAATGTATTACGCTGACAAGCCGTGCATAGAATCGTATTTGTGCATCGATTGTGTTCAATTTGTATATGCTGTATGTAATGAGCTCACGTGACCCATGCAGTCACTAGGGGTGTTATAGTGCACTAACATGTAAAACATATATCCTTGCTTCTTGAATAGTGGCAACCCCAAATCTTAACAATTAATCGAATCTCATCACTGGCATATCATTACAGGTCTAATAGTTACACAACTGTACATACTTTAAATGGGCAAACATTGAAAGTAAACATGCAATGAGATCGTGACAATGAATTCATGCACTTCAAATGCACATGCCAAAGGATACTGTCAAGAACGAGCTTTGTGAGGGATTTGTAAGCAGACAGATCCTTCATCTCACTGATGGTGTTGTATGAGAAATCAGCCTCCTATAGAGGAAAAATAAGGTTGCACAACAAATATTACGACAACGTATTAACAAACAAATTAATGAAAACAATGTATTGATGGTAAACGCAAAAGTACACTCACATGCAATTTGGTAAATGCGTTTGCTTCTCCAAACAACTTACCTTGAGGAAACGGAGAGTAGAAAATTCAAATAGCTTTGTCAGCTGGTTATGCGAGACCTTCAGATCCACAAGATATGGCATGTTGCCAAGAACAGAAAGCTCTGAAATATATTCAAGATGGGAACAACAACAGTTTATGCAATGTGCTGGTAAGAATAACAAAGTTTCAAAATAGTATTATTGCAAACTCATTCAAGCGTATGATAAAAGACAAACACATAATAATTAAAATGTGTCTCTCTTACCTTTAATCTTATTGTGAGAAAGGTCCAGTTTTTGTATGTGAACATAGCCAGATAGAATCCCAATATCTTTGAGCCCATACCCCTGTAGAGTAAATGAATGCAAATACAAAAATACGTGTGAAATATTTTAAATTATAATCACCACACATCTATAAATACATACGAGTACAAAGTTATTCTACTAACAATAACCGTGTGGTCAAGTTGTAAAGCTTGAACATTTGGACTTGCGTCCACATGTAATATATTACTAGGTATGTTACTCTGGATGAAAATCGCTAACTTAATGTATGTTCTTGAACTTATTTCGCATGATGCGTAGCCAACAATGCTAACTGGAAGTGCAAGCCTGTGATCCAGCACTTTGGAGATCAGGGATGGTGTATCACAAAGATGTGTCAAACCCTCAAAACTCACTGGGCTGCAAGTAGGCTTCAAGGTGGCAGTAAAAGCATGACACCATACATCTTCTTCTGTGAGTGTGTGTTTTCTCTGGGCATTCTGATTTCCTCCCACATAACGTAAGTGCCAAACATCTTAACACTGGATAATCCTTCAAAAAAATTTTGGAAACTCAGTGAGGTTTTCGTTCATAAATCATAGCATATGGCTTCTAAATGAGCTCATTTTAATTCAGTAGTACCCGCATAAAATCAGACCCCATGGCAGTAAATCCAGCTATACGGTACTTATATTGAAGTCTACCTGTATCAGAAATTTGCCATTGGCTTCCCCACACCAGCGTATTGTAAGGACATGATGCCTAAATCAGATATGTGTTCATGTACGGTGTGCTTATAGCCAGCTTCTGCTGTAATAAATCTGAATATTGTACTCACGGGGAGTGCCAGGTGGAGGTACACCAGATCTGTGCCCAGAGCCGAGTGGCCAAGGCAGGAGAGACCATGAGCCGCTGTATCCTGATCCAGCACCTCGACCACTCGGAGCTGCAGGTGACACAGATTAACAAAAAGCGTCGACGCAGTAGCATAAGTACATTATCAGCTCAGAGGGTGCGGCAATTGGTCAGGTGGGGGGCCCCAATATTTAATTTGTTTCGCACGATTGCAACTAGGGTATATATCACGGCTCCTCTTGCCTAAATAACATTATGAAGCATTTTCATAAAATACATTTAAACCGCGTTTTGAATATTTATTTTGTTATTTTACACTGTTGAAAGCATCTCATTGGGGTTGTCAAGGGGGCCGCTACTTGGAGCTTTGGCCACCAGGGGGGGCCAAGGCATCGCCTTGCCCCCACGAGTTATGCGAGTGGGGTAAACGTACTGCGAGTGAGCTCATACTAAGGTGGGTCTGTTGCATGACTGGGTGGTGTGGTCAGCATCGCACCCAGAAGTTAGCTTTACATGGTGTGGACCAATCAGTTTCAAAGACAATGCATGTATTGCCGGAGCATGTTATTTTGGGTGCATGTTCACCACAAGTACGTGTGGTTAACGTAGGCAGCATTCCTTGAAAAATTATTCTGTTCGGTGTTTTAACATCTTAACACTGTTTTATTGCAAGAAAGGGTAAAAACCTATTGTTATAATTCAACTTTATCTCCACGGGGCTTGATTTAAAGCTTTCGTGACTGCAGGAATTCATACTCCTTGGGTCTTTCGGTAAAGTCACGTAGATATAAAAATAATAGATCACGACGTTTCGATCGCAACACAAGCGATCGAAACGTCGTGATCGATGGTTGCAAAGAGGCAGGGTTTATGAAGGAAACTCAAAACTATTCTCATTTTACCAGGTAAGGCCCATTGAGCTGTGTAGCTCTTTTTTAAAAGCGTGCTGGCTATCATAAATGATAGCTCAACGAAGTGGCTAATCACGTGGGAATTTATATCAGCCAAATACTCTTAAAAGCGTGTTTCTAAATGTGGAGGGAAACACACGGAGGACGCGGAGAAAAAAATCCACCTGCATCAAATTTAATCAAAGTGGAGTATATTAAATGGATGGCAATAAATACAATGGAATAAGAAAGATGAGGATGTAGAAGTAAATTACTGAGATTTGGATCGATGGAGATGTGGTCGGGGATGGCTTCGTGCGATGGAGGAGGGCGATCGTGACAACGCCGCACGAAGATGATGAATGTTCCTCTTGGTTCTTTCGGTAAAGTCACGTAGAAGGGAAATAATTATTTTATTATGTTTTTTATTCTATTTTTATTTTATATTTTTATTTTATTTGTATTTTTATTTTATAATTATTTTATTATGTTTTATTTTTATATTAATTTGTATTATTTTAATATTTCCCTTCTACGTGACTTTACCGAGAAAACCAAGAAGATGAATCCCTGCACTCACGAAAGCTTTACATCGAAATGATGAAAGTTGTGCTCAGCTGCTTCACCTCTTGGCCGGCTCTCGGCGCCGGCAAAGCGTGTCTGCCGTCGGGCCTGGCTTCAGAGGCGACGGGAACCGAAGTCTCGTCACCCACGACCTCCGCTGCGTCGTCCTCATCCTCGTGGTCCGTGCACCTGCAGGAGGTCGGCGAGGTGCAAGATGTTCACCTCCTGGCTGCCCAACAGGTTCGGCCTCCCGAAAGACGCGTCGAAAGGCGACGTGGCGCCGACAGCCGCCGCCCTCTCCATCAGAGCGTGGCTATTGTGGCGCTGTTTGTGAACGCTGTGCGTTGCCTGTCGTCGTTTGTGATTGTAATCGCGACGAGCATTGATGGGCGTTCGAGATGCGTTGTTGCAAAAAACAAAAAGGCTTCGGCGGTGCCGGTAGACCCTGGGCGCGTTGCCACGGCGACGCGTGGTGTGGGCGCGGTGTGCGCATGCGCGGCGGGGCCGTGTGCAAAACACGTGCGGAGCGGTGACAGAGTGGTGGTCAGAATAGTTAATTAATTCTAGATTTTAAGCTTTCGTGACTGCAAGGATTCATACTCTTAGGGTTTTTTTCGGTAAAGTCACGTAGGTAAAATAAAAAGAAATAATAAAAATAAGAGAAATTTAAAAAAAAATTCTACTACTTATTTTCATTTTTACCTACGTGACTTTACCGAAAAAAACCTAAGAGTAGTTCATTTATCCCGGAGGAATAATCCGATGAGCTATAAAGCTCTTTTTTTTAACAGAAGTCCAGTCGATGCAGGTCAGGACGATACAGCAACAAACAATACAAAGACACGATTGGGAGTGCAAAGAAAATAAGTTTTGTCCAATTCTGCCGTGAGACCCCTGGGCTCGCCAGCAAGTGGATTAATCGCCATCTGTTTACATCTGTACGGTGATAGGATTGTGTCCCCCCCCCCCCTCCGGTTTCCTCCCAAACACGTGCATTAACTGAACTAATATAGGTAAAGCATCGAACCACACAAACACAAATGAGGTAGTTACAACCACAGAAGCGATTTCCTCAATTTAAACAGCAATGCCTCCGAAAGGTTTATCGTACACGACCATTTGAGAGAGATCGGACATCAAATTAAGTGTCAGATTATGAAACCCACGAGCGGGAACCCGCGAAACTTCCGCAAGGATTTAATGATGAGGAACAGAGCGATACTTAGGGGCCGTCCATAAATGACGTCACGCACCTAGGGGGGGGGGGGGTCAGACATTGTGACGATGTGTGACGAGGGGGGGTTTGAGAAATGTGACGTCACGTCAAAATGCGAAACTTTAAAACACATTCCTGCGGGGGGAGCTGGTAAGAACGTTGGGTTGCTCGGTCAATGGCCTGCAGGGTCAACGGCGGCGTGGTGTATTCCGCAAAAATGCCCGACTGCGAGGGCGGGCACAAGCCGGCGTGAGTAGGTTAAACGTTGAGTTTTATAAGGGCACCACGGGGTGCCCTTATAAAACTCCCCACCCAGCCCCTCCCCACCCAGCCCCTCCCCACCCAGCCCCTCTCCACCCAGCGCCTCCCCACCCAGCCCCTCCCCACCCAGCCCCACCCTCCCCACCCAGCCCCTCCAGTGGGTTCCTACCAGAAAAAGTCTCTTTCGAGCATATTATTATTTAAGAAGATATTATAATTCTTTGTAAACGGATATATACTGTTGTTACGGCACATTCATAATAGAACAGCCTCCACTAAAGGTTATTTATATATGGTAATGTTTTGGCCACCAGTTGCACAATTTTCCACCCTTTCAAATGATGCCAAAAGGTCTTCAGCATCCTTCCACAACAAGAGGGTGAATTTTTATTTAAAGCTTTCGTGACTGCAGGGATTCATATTCTTGGTTCTTTCGGTAAAGTCACGTAGAAGGGAAGTAATACAATAAAAGTAAATTATTGTTTTATTTTATTCTTTATTTTATTTTATTATTTCCCTTCTACGTGACTTTACCGAAAGAACCAAGAATAACAAGAGGGTGGCCATACACTTGGGAAATAATGAGCCCACGAACATTCTGGAAATCTGCAATAACCGATCCATCACTTCGGCAGGTGTAATCATTTACACGCCAGCACAGGATATCGATTAATCGTATTGATTTTGGGTTATGATTCGATGAGAGCAGTGTTCTTCACTGGTGGCCCCTGATGGCCTTTAGTGCGGTCCTCCACAATACACACAATGTGAAAACACCACTTGCAGCGGTGTAGCAGGCCCTCACACTCACCACTCATGTTCTTCTCAGACGAAAGTGCCCCCCCTCTGGAAAATTCGTGAAGAACGGTGGATTTGAGGATTTATCTGTGATTTGTATTTCCAAATCTGCTTTGCTCCTCTTAGCTTAAAGAGGCCCATGGCCACCATGGACCTTCAATGCACAGCCAAGGGCAATTATCCAACACTGTAACTCGTAAAAGAAAGCATGATTGTGCTAAACATAGTGAGGATTGGAATCACAAAATGCAATGGATGTGATTCATACCGCGCAAAAAAAGGAGACAGCCACATGCTGAGCAAATGTCACGCATTTTTTTACTAGACTGTGCATACAAGCGCATTATGTAGTCCACAGTACAAAAAGAGGGAATATTTTTTCCCTGAGAAATCGTATTAATGTATGAAAAAAAAGACGTTTTAAAAATTGCTACTTAAAAAGTTTACGAAGGCTATTTTATGTGCGTTAGCTTTAAAAAGTAACTTGCATCCAAACGTAATTCACGTGTTGTCAATGAAATATATAAACAAGAAAAAAGTCATGACTTTTTTCAAAACTGTAAGGCCTCAACGTAATTAATTTTCCACGGAGTAAATAAATGCAGCGGCTGGCGTTTAAAAATCAATACAGTTAACTTTTAATGAGCGCGAGCATTTTTCTATGCAAGCCTAATTACAGTATTGTCCAAATGTGACCCAAATACTTATTTTGAAGACATGATTATTCCTTAACACGCGTATTGGCGTTGTCTGTGTCACAATGCAGACATTTTATTTATTCATGCCATGATATTAAAATTAGGTGTGCACAAAACCTAATTTAAATATCATGTAAAACTACAATTCCTCAAGTAATTTCTAAATGCCCATTCATATTTTCTATGTTACAGGAACTACACAAGTAAATCAAGGCAAAGTTCTGGAATTCAAAATATTGCAATCAAGAATGTATACTCAGGTGCCGCTTTTTCCACTCATTTGCTTAGTTTCCAATTCACCGTTTTCGAATAAGTGCTGAATACTGGCACTCACGTTCTTTGGAAACTGAAAAGGAGGGATTGAACCGTGCATGTCCTTCGAAAAAAATGCATTCTATTCTTCAACAGGATACAAATGTATGCCCTTAAAACAATTTAAGTGCATTTGGAATGCTGTGAATACGAACTCTTTGGGGCTTTCGGTCCAAATAGAAATAATAGACCATTGGAACCTCATTTGCCTGTAAAGGAGGTTCCAATGATGTAAATGCTTATACCCCGAGCTCTCATACTCTGATGGTGCATTGTCTTTGAGTTGCGCGCCTTTTAGGCGTCATCTGGTCCAACATCAGGGTGAGACTAGGCTCTAAGGAAAGCTGTCTCGGGTGTGGACCAATCAATTTCAAGGACAGTGCATACATTATCATAGTTATGTTTTGTGTTTGCATTACGACTGCAGGTATTGTGGTCTATGCAAACTTGACTCCTTGTAAAACAGTTTTGTTGCCAGATAAAAGGGTAAAAAACCAATTATCATCTTCTTGGTTCTTTCGGTAAAGTAACGTAGAAAGAACCAAGAAGATGAATCCCTGCAGTCACGAAAGCTTTAAATCGAAACCAATTATCATATTAGAAATAACAGATCGCGACGTTTCGATCGCAACACAAGCAATCGTCTTCAGGTGCGATCGAAACGTCGCGATCTATTATTTAGATTTACGTGACTGGACCGAAAGACCCAAAGAGTATGAATTCCTGAATCAAGATTTAATCAGTGAATACGACTTTAGAGGAGAATTCCATCCATAGTTAAAAGGAGCTAAAAATAATAATAAACCAAGGTACACAACACGAGCTGTGGTTAATGAGAAATAATTCCGTATTAGAAAACTGTTAATCAACTCGTAAACTGTGAATCAACTCATGCTGTCAAATAAATGCATCGTCTATTTTCCCCAATTACCATTGCTCACGAGATGAAGAATCTAATTCTACATCTCAAGTGCAGTGTGCCCCATGTGCTACATGAAACCGACCTGCTCAAGATATCTTTCACAGGGCTTGCTTTTTTGTTCTTTACAGAGTAGAGTGCACACTTACCCACAAACTCTGCTGTGAGCTGAAAAACTATCTTGTGCATTCTGGTCTAGAATTTGGCCAAATTTAAATAAAATGTATCCGATGGGTTGTTTGTGTAGTCACTGGTGAATGGGCTGAGACCACTAACTCGCTCAAACTGAAAATCCACTTTTACTCACCAGGCAGCTGCCTGGATTCAAACCTAGGCCCTTGGCAATTTTTTCTCGCTGCTTGGCTACCTCCATTTCCCCCCTCATTCTGATTGGAAACCCAGTGAATGTGGATCATTACACCACAAGTGTCGCTGCCTTCATCACCAAATATGGGACTTGGAAGACATTCTGCCTAAAATGCAAAGCAGTTTCAGATAAATAACTGGTGCACAATACACCCACTGTATAAAAAGTCTCACATTCTTCACACGACAGTATACAACAAATCAAGTAGACTCCCACTCATTTACACCGGTAGGATCAGATGTCTGGAATGCAGACTGTCACGCTCCTACATTATTCATGGTGCACAGGCTACTTTTACAAATTTTAACTGTCCATAGCAGAGGTACACATTTTTTTTACACAAATGGTACACTGGCAACTGGGATGGAGGCTGGCCAATCAATGTACGACATTTGAACCAAACAGGGGTATATATTTATAATTGAAAATGTACATTTAAAAAATAATTTTTTTTGTAGTTGTGTTTGCTCCAAACAGCTTAAGGTAGCATGAGCAAATAATTTGCAAATAATTTTGATAAATCACGAGTTGGAGGTCAACCGAGGTTACAAGCAAGTAAATCAGTTCGTGTCAGGTACGGAGCACATCAAATCGTTGCATGATGAGAGGAGGCAACCGCTAGAGACATTCATCCAATGATTGACTGATCATGACTGATGCTGACGATCCGAAATACACTTTGACATGCACAATTCAAGGCATGTATTACGAGCATGAGAACCAAATCTCCAATTCTCACGAATGAATCAATTGAACTTTACAATTGTTAAAACATTCAGCAGGGGTTGTTGATTTTATGAGCCTGGAGTTTGCCGGCCCCCTCCTCACCACGACAGTCTCATGCGCTTGAGGTTTACGGTGAGAAGACGAACACCGTGTGGTTACACTCTATATATCGAGTAAATTCTACTCATAAATGTGATAAGCATGGCGCAAGGTTTAGAGGCCAGAGCCAGTGGTGGAAATTCCATGTTCCTATGGCACAGGCTATATACCATAGGACTACCACTTATGAATTCCCACAAAGTGGTACCTAATTTATTGACCACAGAGAAATGGAAAGCCGAGATTATTGCAAGCCATGAGCCACACAGTCATCTGGCAAGTTCACCGTCAAGTCAATGTGTACACAATTGTGCTCTCCTTTCATACGAAAAGTCACGTGCATTGCCTGTACGTAATTAAGTGAACAATAAAATACAGGAATGGGAATCCCAGTGTTTGTTTCCCGATACACCATGAGCCAAATGTACCGCCCAAGCCTCTGCACAATGACAGCAAGTCCGTATCTTCCTGAAACTATTTACAAAGCAATGTAGAACGGTAAAGGTGCAGTCCTGCAATTGCTTGCTCATGCCACTGCTGGTGGAAGAGCCTCCTACTAGAGGGAGCTCTATAGAACCCCTCTCGAGTGGTATTTGGCCTACTCTTCGATGCGATCTACTGATTGAATGGGACAAAGCCATCTACACTGTATTTTGGTGAGGCAATGTACAGTATATATGTCCAGTGTGTTGCACCAGGAGACCTCAGTTCAGTGTGTTAACCAAATTGATACCATGGTAGTATTCCTAGTAAATCATAACTATTATAATTTACCTTGTAAACAAGATTATATAAGCAGTACTCTTAACTTTGCCATGTGGCTCAGTGGCATTTTGTGCACCTGCAAATTCTCAAGAAGAATTCAACGAATTTAATGTTATAAAATATGAACAAACTTCCATAATGTAAGCACCCTCAAATGCAGTTTTGAGAATTATGATGTAAATACCTTGTACAGTTATACCTGCATGCATATTGTGCCTAAATAGGTTGTGACATGAAGTAAAAAAAAAACACAGTACAGTATAACATTTCAGGTAAGCAAAACAATCACCGAACAAAATCAAAAACAGCATGTGTGCAAGGTTATTTGTTCACAATCTATTAAAAAAAGGCTAAATCTGATCAGACAACCTCAGGAGCAATTGGTTAAGTAATTTCTGACAATTACTTGCAGAATGTCACCGTCTGACAAAGAGAATATTGTCCATCATCACCAATGTTATTGTTGCAAACATTGCAAGCATTTTTTTCGTTGTCAAACCATTTAACAAATCGCTCTTCGACGGTCTTTTTTATGCTGTAGCACATGTTGCCGCGACAGGACGTACAGTCTGTTCTTCTATATGGCGTGTTTTCATCACGCGAATTGGATAGAAATGGGATGAATGTATTAGGGACGACGTTTTTGTTTTAACGCGTATTGGATAAAATGCAATTGAGTGAATGGAACTACGTCGCATGAATATGAATAAGCGGTTGTACAGCCGCCTCTCGGCATAGCATCACGCAAGACGGGATTCTGCTATATGCTTCTAGATGCTACCCACACGCCTCGGTATTTGTTCAGCCTGCGTTACGTATAGTCACGTGTTATCGCGGACTGTGCTTTACCCTTAATTTCACATGATTTATCATAACGCGATTTTTTCATAATGCAGCGTTCTTCAGGAACGCAACTAGCGCCGTTATAGGAGAACAGACTGTAATTCCAAGGAACGTGCTTTACAACCCAAAAACAAGTCGGAGAGCCTGTAGTACAGCACAACCGGCGGGGATTTGCCGTCCTCTTTTCTGATGACCGAAACTCGGCATGGGCACCCGTCGTAGAGGCTGCTTTCAGTGTTTTTCTACTCAACGTATCCACAGGAATTCAGGGGGTAGCGGGCTTCAATGGGTCTGTCAGGGTTCACGGATTGTGTCATGACGGCACGCCTTCTGGAAACGAAAGAAGTCAGAAACATGACGCAAGAACAACTCATCTGTTTCCGAGAAAACGGTGGGTTTTTTATGTTTTAAGGAAGGATGTTATGGGCGAAGAGTTAAAATGCAGAAGTATGAAATACAGATGTTATAAAATAACACTTAAAATCAATCAACGTTAAATCGTGCGGGTATAATTTACATAATACCTACACGATGATCTAACATAAAATAAAATAAATATGAATCGTAACATTGGTCGTGAAAGCCAATGTGTAAAATAACAAAATGACAAAATGTTTTACCATTGACTTTATGCTCCAATAATTAATCTGAATGCAAACGTCAATCGCTAATGTAGGCTTTAATGCCCGACTCAGCACACAGTCAACGCGTGCACGTTGCTGCACAGGAAACGGACGGCATGGTCCTGAATGCAGCTCATCATGCGACTACAAACCAGCCGGGCTTGGCGGATTCCCACAAACCATGGCTCCAATTCACACATGGCGTGGCCTTTAACGTCATCTATGTATGTATGTATGTTGAACTTCTTTCGCACCGTACGTAGCCAACCGCGCTAATCGGAGGTGATTATTGCTGGTGGCAAAGACCACCACCCCCACCCCCCCTTAATCCACTTTCTCAAGACACTGGAGAAATTAGCCAAATATGTAAATTCAAGATCCTCCTAAAATAAATTGCGACTCAAGTGAGGCATTCTTGGGAAAATAAAAGTAACTGTTAATTATTTGCTAGCGACAATAACATTGCCATGTATCTATCCAACTAAACCAAACCGAGACTCAAGATTCTTCTTCATGTGACCGATGTTGATGTAGACTGTAGAGCAACAACTGTAATTTCACATTGAGCTGGTTGAGCCAGACGATTGCGTCAGGAGAAATGGAGTGGTGAACCATCGCTGTGATGCCTCCTTCATATTTGAGTTGTTATCTGTGAAACAAGGAAATTCTACTGGACATATGTGAAAAAGAGCTTCAGATTCCTCCAGTCTGAATAATGATTCTGATATGTTCCATGGCCTGTTCTGGGTGACGACAGTTGCACACCAGAGATTTTTTTTTTTATGTTCCATCTAAACTCAAAATTATCGTCCAGAAATATCCTACAATTGGACATACAGTAAACCCTTGTTAATTCAAACACATATGGGGCTCTGGCCTTGCTGAATTATCCAATATTCCGAATTATATATAATGGTACTCCACAGTGGCTCCTCCGGCATATATACTAATACTGTATACTGATACTGTATACTCATACTGTATACTGGTACTGTATATTAATACTGTATACTAATACTGTATATATGCCAAAAGCGCAGCCGTGCCCAATTATCCCCAATTAAGAATCATCAAATGAACCTGATGGGGGGACCCTGGGGTGGCCCATCAGCCCCCGGCTCTCGCATACACTGCGTTGCGACGTCATTTAATGTCTGTTGAAGGCAAACGATACGGAAATATATTCCTCTCGACGAGGTCTACACGAAGCGCAAATCAAAGTTTCAAAGTTTTGTTTCTTCTGCGCATTCGTCCTCGCCGCTGCGCTTGAACGGAATGACCCGCGCCAGGCGGGTCGCGGCGTTTATGTGCGCGGTGGGACGGAGTCGCCAAAAAGAAACTAATTACGATTTTTACTTCCATTAATTCGAGACCCCGGGGTCCCGCCATACGGTTCAAATGCCGAAATAACGAGGTTTTACTGTATGTGCAAGTCCATTTTAAGGACTGCTTCGATTTTCTAAGGAAGGGAACTGGAGTGCCCAGAGACAGTTTTACTTACTGTAGCTGAGTGGCATTTACTACATGAAAGAGGCGGTGTGATGCTCACATTGGCTGATGCTGTGGTGCGGAGTTGTGAAGTGTGAACTTGAGCCAAGGCAAGTGCCCCTTAAAATTATTGAGCTAAGGGTTGGCTGCCTCCTCAATCTATAAGCATATACTTAATTACTTTACAGGCTAATATTAATCAGATTTACTGCACGTGAATAAATCATCCGATCTCCTCATCAGATCTCAGAAGCTCAGGTGGATTGAGCCTGGACGGTGCTTGGATGGGCGACCACCGTCTTTAACACGGTTGGCTATGATTGGTGCGAAATAAGTTCGAGATGTGTACATACAGGTGTTGTAGCCTGCTTTGCGGCTATGTTGCCAGCAGCAGGAACGTATTGGGGAAATGATTCGTTGTTGTGCTATAATATAGCTCCTACATCTACGCTCCCCCACCCCCTACATCATCCGCACTGACCAGCGTGGTGAAGCATCACGAAATACCCCCCCACCCACCCACGACCCGCACATCGCGGGCAGGCTCGTATCCAGGAGTGGACTGAAGACAAAACCTCTGTATCTGTGCACCAGTTATCGGTTGCTATTGGGGGGCCTGCTGGGTTGCGGAGACAGGACTGCCGTTCTTCTGAACCCCGAAGGCCGTGATGAAGACGTTGACCACGACAATGATGAAGATGAGGCCCGTGGCGATGTTGTTGAGGAGGTCCAGCTTGCGGTGCTTTCCCGCGTCGTTCAGGTCGTACTTCACTGCAACGCGAGGAGGGGCAGGAAGGTCGAGAGGTCAGGAGGTCAAAAGAGAGGGAGCCCGACGTGAAACGCCAGACACGCCATGAGCAAGGGCAGAGGCAGGGAACCCTTTGCCGACCAAGTAGCCCCTCAATGTCGCTCGGCAATCAATGGGGCCGTTTTGAATGTTCCTCCGTGTGTTAACGATCGATCGGGCCCCAGCCAGGACTCCTGGACTGGCAACATCCTGCACGGTACTTACCTTACACCAAGGGCTCACGGATCGAACACAACTTAACGAGATATAACCTCCCTCCGAAACGAATCGTGACCCCGAATCGCGACAACTCATCCAAGTCAGGGGGATCAAAACTGTTAAAACGCAAGATTGTCGGAGCCCCTGTACGCACTGAACAAAAACATGTTTCGTGAAAAAGATGCATTTATGTCTTGCTGTTGACAGCGAGATGCAGCTTAGCCCATGGCCAGCGTCGGTTGGGTTTAATGCAACACTCCATAACTACCCGGTCGCAGAATGCAACGCGGCTGGGCTTGCGATGTTCAGCTGGGTCGTAAACAGCCTCCTATGATCAATTAAGTGCTTTTAACTTTTTACCATCGCAGAGCGTTTAGAATCTAAGAGGCTCAAGAACTGCCCCCTCCCCCTACACACACATGCGGGAGTCCCCCCACAAAGAATGAGGCATGTAACAATGCGCTCCCTCGCACGCAAGCAGAGCAAGTGGCTAATGGGAACGCACGGAGGCAGAGATTTACAACTTAAACAAGCAGAGGGGTGGAGCTCATCTCCTGTTTACAGCCCTGAGCCAAGGGGTGGAAATTCCGAATTCCCATGGAAGGGGCGTGTAATCCCATTTGACAATCACTGTTGGCTTCTCCCACCCCGCGCAGGCTACGGAAGGTGGCGAAATAAGTTCAATATACAGTACACACAAAGCGATACTCCAAACCTTGTGGGCCGAAATACTAAGTCCTGCATATAACGGGGTCCCCCCCTTTTTGGGGGAAACTCTAAAAATTGCTCAAGATTTTGAAAAGTCACACTCCTTTAGCTCAAAACCAGGACAGCGCGTAAAGCAATTTTGCGTCAGGTGTTATCCGCGTCTCCACATCACGAAGGAACGACACACCCCCCCACCACCCTAGCCAGTACCAGTTGAGTCCTCTACCATGCAGTATCCACTGTAGCATTGGATTGTGGGTCCCAGAATTGTCTCATGGTTTCTGTGGTTCTTTTTTACCTTTTACGTTTCTTTATATGGTTCTTTTACGACATAAAGAGCAATATACATATGATTACAAGCTGTGCATGAGCAATATTTGGCCTTCATGGAAATGACGGGTTTTTACGAAGAAAACACGTACACAGGGGCACCAAAAACCACTGAATTAGCCTGGTATTTTGAGGACAAGCAGAACTTATTTTACTTATTTTACCAATCCCATCTGGCCAGGTGGCTCAGTGGCAGTGAACAGCTCGCAGTCGGAAGGTTGAAAGTCCAAATCCTGTGTCAATAAAATAAGTACTGCTTTGTGGGGGAAATCAACCGTGGTTGTTCTACGGCTACTCGACATCTGTGAAAAAGTACTTTATAGCTCGTGGGATTCCTCCAGTATAAATATTATTATTCGGTTACACTCGCCCCCGCCATAGAAATGCGGAAATTCCACCACTCGCTCAGGGCTGTAAATCAGAGAGGAGTACCAATGCCGCATTACACACAAAGTGCTTGCCACAAATGAACCACAATACCTTGATGATCTCGTTAATCAGCATAACCCATCATGCGAACTCCGGTCATCCTCACAGCCGCTTTTGGCTGGCCATCAAACAAAGACGGTCACCGCATCGCACGCTTTCAGATGCGCTTCTGCGGCCGTCTGGAACTCTCTTCCTTTCGATATTAGGAAGCCAATGGAGCTATGCACTTTGAAATCTAGATTAAAAACTAACTTCTTTAGAAATTATTTGTGTTTAGATTGTTGTCCATCCCACACCTCCGATTAACACGGTTGGCTACGTACGGTGCGAAAGAAGTTCACCATACAATGCTCAATTGAGCCAGAAATCACTTTCACCTTTCTGAAAAGAACGAAAGGCTGAGCGAATCCCCACTGAGATTCCGCGACCTTAACCATCTGCACATCATGGGGTAAGAAACGCACGTGGGACGAAGAGGCGTTGCCCACCAATGAAGATGAGCAGGACTCCGACGACAATCTGGAAGATGATGGAGACGGATAGCAGCGCGATGAGCACTGCGTAGAAGTTATTGGCCGTGCCGTGCTCCATGACGACCTTAAGCTGCGACGCGTTGGCCATGAGCAGCGCGACGTCCAGCATGCTCTCGGCGGCGCTCTTTTTGGTGGCGTAGTGGTTCAGGTCCAACTGCCGGCGTCCAAACACCCGCCCGCCATTAGCCGGCAGGGCTTCCTGGAGACAGCAGAGAAAAAGAAAACGTATTTATATTTTATCTTCTTTCGCACTGTACGTAGCCAACCGTGCTAATCAGAGGTACGGGGGAAGGACGGGAAACTAAACCCAAGCAGCCCCAAAGATATTAGTTTTCAATCTCGATGATTTAAAAGTGCATAGCTCCAGTGGCTTCCTAATATCGAAAGCAAGAGACCCAAAGAGACCCACATAGATCCAGAGACTCATATAGAACCAAAGAGACCCACAGAGACCTATAAAGACCCATAGCGACCCATACTCGTATGGATGTATGTTGAACTTCTTTCGCAGCATGCATCGCCAACCGCGTTAATTGGAGGTGTGGCGGAAGGACAACAAACAAGACACAAAACTAATTTCTAAAGAAATGAGTTTTCAATCTAGATTATTTAAAAGTGCATAGCTCCAGTGGCTTCCTAATATCGGGAGGAAGAGTGTTCCAGACGGCCGAACTGTAGGTCGAATGTGAGAACTAGGGGGCAGATATGCGAACTGGGAGTTGTGTATGCGAACTGGGAGTCGGATTTGAATGTAATTAGGAATGTGCAGCCCTTGCATTTGCTAGCTCGCATGGGCCTCCATTAGAGGGAGCTCTGGAGCACCACTCTTGACAGAAGTTGGCCTACTCTTCTATGCTGACCAGACGTTTTTAAAGAAGAGTTGGGAGTACCCACGCTTTATCCCACCACTCACACGACCTCCTTGATCGTACGTGGTCGTACCCATTTTTACTGCTGAGTGGAGGGAGAAAGGGGCTACTAAATAAACTTGCTCCATTGTTCCACGTTAAGTGTTAGTCACAAAAAAAATACTGACCTCCAGGGCACATGTCATCAAGGTGAGGTAATATTTAACTTGGGCCCAAACTCAATCAAGGGATCCTTGTCATCAAGAGTCAATACACCTTAAAACAAACTAAACTATATATTTTAAACTACTTTTTGTTTTACCAGGTAAGGCCCACTGAGCTATATAACTATTTTTCAGAAGTGACCCAGACACAAATGATAGCTCAACGAAGTGGCTAATCACGTGGTAATTTCTAGCAGCCAAATACTCTAAACGCATGTTGATTCTAAATGTAGAGGGGGAAATCCGGAGGCCCCGGAGAGAAATCCACGTGACCACGGGGAGAACATGCTTAACTTTCGGTCACAGTTCCTATAATCACTGTTACATTGCTTATGGCTTTATTTTGGTGATTTCGAAAAGTTTTTTGGTTTGGCCATGTTTGTTTGTTGTAGTACGGAGTTAGAATGATGGCTTTAATCTAAGTTGTCTTGTGGTTGTTGTTGTTGTTTGACTTGCATCCCACTGGGATTTTTGCACAGCGTTGGTGTACGGTGCTTTTTTTCTGGAAGACTTTGCAGTTTTTTCCAGGATTTTTCTGTTTGCTCATAGTCACTTTAAGAAGTTTTCTTTTGTTCATGTTTTTGTTTTTTGTTTGTTGCGGTTGCACCCGATTCAAGAGCTCACAGGGCTATACCAAATAAATGAAACAGAAAAAAAACCATTCAAACTATACAACAGGGCGCCATTGTCGGGATCGATCCCACGACCGCCTGTACACCAGGTGAGGTAGTTAACATCACGGCACCGCGAATTGACTAGAAAGGTGCATTTATCACATTTCGTCCGAAAGCAGTTGTTGTTTTTGGTAGTGCCTGTGAGACTCGGTTATCTGTGACCTGTGTAAATGACCGTTTGCTGCGATTAGGAAAATGGGTTGAACGCGACTTGACCAACGAGACCAAATAAGCTCGAGACAATACAAAGGAGCAAGTGAAAGGATGGGCAATATAAGTGAGCCAATAAAACGTAGGAAAAAAAAGTACTGATTCTTGTATTGTGATAAGAGACAATTAATCTCACGATGGAGATTGGTGGTGAGCGAATTGTAACCTTGCTAGTTCCTCGTCATCAAACAAGGTACATTTTGAAAACACTTCAATTGGGTCTCAGAGGCGATGCCATCATGTAAAACAACACAACTCTTACTCACGCATAATGCAGGATGTGAGTTTTCCTGAGTGCGTGGTCAGCTCTTCATTGTGCTTTTGGGTTGCATTGCGTGTTATTTGGCACGTCCGATTTTTTTCGCTCGCAGCTTATTCAGGGTGCCACGGTGGCGAGATGTTAACTACCTCGCCTGGTATACAGGAGGTCGTGCATTCAATCCTGACCCTGGCATGCTGTATATGTGGAGATTGCGTGTCTCTCCCTGTGGTCGCGTAGATTTTTTTTTGAGTATTTGGCTGCTAGAAATGCCCACGTGATTAGCCACTTGGCTAAGCTATGATTTGTGGCTTGGTCGCTTCTGAAAAAAAGCTATATAGTTCAGTGGGCCTTACCTGGTAAAATAAAAAAAAAGTTTCGTTTTCAGTTTGTTCAGTGGGACACCATGCCGAACAACACAATGAGCACGACCCGAAAAAACACATTCTGAGAGATAAGGAAACCTGAGCCGATTAATTAGACCAGTCAAAAATAGGTTCACAATTAACCTTCTAATCTTCCAGAGGTTAATAATCTCTTACAATGCCTCTGCATTCACGAGTAAGGGTGTGTGTGTGGGGGATTTTTTGGAAACTTTACTAACCAAATACTTTCCGAAAACCATTTATATTGTTGTTATTACACGCTTTTTATGAACTAATTGTCTGTTGTTGTATCCTCAAATCTTGTAACTAAATTTTTACCCACTTCCCAATGTGGTATCGACTGCAATCCTAGTATACTTATGTCATATTGATGACAATACTATATATTGATGACAACTCATAAAAAATAAAAAATAGATTTTTTTAAACGTAATTTTTCATATGTTAAGTTTCGGCTTGGGTCTAATTGTCCATGCTCAACTCATGTCGGTCCCGTACGTTATGGAAAGCTTCGGGGCAACTTCCCGGAGTCGTGGAGTTCTTCCATTACTACTAGTACGGTACATTTCATTAAAGCGTGTTTAAAAAAAGTTATTTTAAATATTACTTATTTTGAATATAAAAATGTTATGATATGCAGAGTGCTAGTGCAGCTTGCGTCATTATGTAACACGTGGCAGTGCGAAAACCTAATAATGAGCACTTAATAACGCATTCATACGTTTGTATATTTTACTGCACACATTTCTTTTGACAGTCAAATCTCTTAAAGTGGAGGCTCCCTCAATAGACTGTCTTGTAAATTTGTTTTTGTGATCATGTAAACTTGCACTTTGGATAATTTAAGTGTAAGAACCTTTAAAAACGGGGGTAAACTTGAGAAAATCCCAACATATATGACTACAGGATGTGTTCTAATAGTATGGTGTAACATTTAAAAAGTTCATAATCAACGTTTTTGGGTTTAGATCGCGTTATTTATAAATGTGTCGTAACCCTCCACCACCCGACACGGCCAATCAGTAAAAATGTGTCACGTTGACAAAGACAAATAGTTCACAGCTTTAGCCCACCGGTGTGTTGAATTGTAAATGTTGTGGCTTCAACACACGGTGGGCTAAAGCAGTGAACTATTTGTCTTTGTCAACGTGACACTTTTTTACTGATTGGCCGTGTCGGGTGGTGGAGGGTTACGACACATTTATAAATAACGCGATCTAAACCCAAAAACGTTGATTATGAATAACATTGGTCGCGAAAGCCTACGTGTTAAATTAAAAACTTCTCAAGCATGTCGTAAACTTAAATAGCGTTCTCTCCCAGTTACGAAATGTTTACTTTATATAAATCAGCTGTGGATGAGCCATTGCTTCAGGCCAGAGCAATATTCTGGAAATGTCTGTGGGAAAGTACCCACGGACAATAGTAAAATCCCAGAAAAAAAACCTAGTTATCAATATGACTTTTATAAGGAACACGTGCAATGCAAAACTTTGTAATTTGTTTCTCAAAGAGTGCATATTGCCAAATCTGCAACCCAAAAAAAAGATCCGCTTCCTGGTGCCAAATGTTTCGCTTTGCTGCTTGTGCCCCAGTTTAGCTTTTTGTGAAACAGCCTCCGTCTCTCTTTATAGAACGCCACAGTTACATACGCGGCACAACGATGCCTTCGTTCCTGCAAGCCGTGTAGATGAAATGCATGCACAGCAAATACATTTCGATTTAAAGCTTTCGTGACTGCAGGGATTCATGGGGAGGGGAGGGTGGGGCTGGGTGGGGGGTGGGAGGGGTGGGGCTGGGTGGGGGGTGGGAGGGGTGGGGCTGGGTGGGGAGGGTAGGGAGGGGCTGGGTGGGGAGGATGGGGAGGGGATGGGTGGGGAGGGTGGGGAGGGGCTGGGTGGCGGGAGGGGTGGGGCTGGGTGGGGAGGGGCTGGTCACCCCGTGGTGCCCTTATAAAAATCAACGTTTAACATACTCACGCCGGATTGTGCCCGCCCTCACAGTCGGGCATATTTGCGGAATACACCACGCCGCCGTTGACCCTGGCCATTGACCGAGCAACCCAACGTTCCTACCAGTTCCCTCCGCAGGAATGTATTTAATTTTGCCGGCCCTTCCCCAACACACAATGGCTAGCGTGGTGAAGTATGGTGAAACACAACCCACGACTGCCACAGTTATCGAGAGACCATGATGGATTGGCAAAGTTCGGTAAATTCGTCAGGAATGCCGAGATTAAATAAGAATTCAAGGGGATTCTGGATTATGCACAATGAAATGGCAAATTATTTTAAACCCTTCATTTAATATTTTTCAATTGTCCTGGGCCGTTAGAAGGCACCACACTGTAACGTACCATCTTAAATTCCTGCATAATCTATACATTGTTGCTGCTGCTGCCAACTGCTCTGAATAAAAGCCGCTGCCAAACCACTAACCTACGACAGTAGACATAGGCCGTTGTAAGGGCAGAGTGAATGAGTTTTTTGATGGAGCGGTAGGCTTGAGAGGGATGAGAGGGATGAGTCATTTTGCTGAGTCACTACAATGGGCGAATGAGTCACCAAAAGGGGCTCAAATTGTCACGAGCCTCTCAATATCTGGTGACAAAGGGAATGGGGCTGACCATCAAAAGGGCCTCTACTTCACTGCGTTTATCTTAACCGAGAAAATATTTTCTAAGGCATTCACTGAGTTCGAAAATAGAAAATTGGAGGCACTATTCCACTTACATGAAAGAACAATATTTATGTCCATGTCTCCGTGCGTTCTTCAGTAAACCACTCCGGTCTGTGCTGCTTCAAAGAGCAATAGCGAAACTACACAAACTCTCTCCTCTCGCGGGGAGCAGCAGACCTCGATATTGTCATCTCACTCCTGAACTTATTGCCATACGCAAGAACAGAAAATTGCATCCTAAATTTAATTCAGAGGTGCATGACATTTTTGACATCTCAGGGTTCAGCAGCAGACCAATTTGGTATGAATATTTACACAGCCGTTTGTCAACCCACCATTGAATCAAGGCCCCCCCCCCCCCCATGTCATACGAGTTTGCCCGACTGTGCTTTATCATGGTGCAAAGTATAGGAAATGTAAGCAAATCACGAAAACTAAATAAGCTACACTATTTTTATTTTCCTCGGAGGATGGGTCAGGATGAGTTTTAGATGTCACCCAAAATGGACATTTACCATAGCCGGGAAATTGAACTTGGGAAGTGATGTTCATATCGCAGGGCAATAAGCACTGCGCCATCCCTCCTCATCGTCAAACACATTAAACGTGTCAGTAAATTTACTGTATCAGTCCTGTGGCTTTCAAAAATTTATCGCAGTTATGGATGTAAAACCCCACTTCTTAAACACCCGTAGTCTGTTCCGCTCATCAGAATTAGGGGTATAAAAACACTCGTTCCGGTCACGGCTTACACCAGTGGGCACCACAGCACCCATCAACCCACAATAAAGGTTTTTTTTGGTGGAATCAAAAACGTTGTTAACATGTGATCTAAACCAAAAAACCATGATGGATAAAATTGGTCGCAAAAGCCTACGTGTTTGAAATGAACTAACACATACCGGCATGGACAAGTATGTTCAAACAATCCCCACGACTAACATGTTCTTAGTTCTTAATCAGGGCTTAACATTTTAATTAGCTGCATTAATAGTGAGCTGAAGCAAGACTGCTTAGGTTATCCACTGCACCCACTGAAAACGATTTAAAGTTAAGCTCACAGATGTTTCATAAAACATTGGCAAGGAGTCGGGTAAAAACACAAACCTTACCTAATATCTTTCCGAGTAATGCCAATCGATGTCTTTCGAGCCAGCGAAAAAGAATGAAGGCTGTGTAAATATACATATTGATAGTGTGTGCTATTTTAAAATACAGTACTGTTTTATTTATCCATGAGAGTTTCCAAAGCTTTTATTATTTATGTAAGCATCATATATTTGTTTAACAAAAAAGAAAATATAAAACTGGAAGTTTACAAAAATAAAGTACCTTCTTACTTGAATGAGCATTGGGATAGCATTTGGTGGAAGTTACTAAAAAACACACACTTGTTTTTACCAGACAAGGCCCACTGAGATGTGTAGCTATTTTTCAGAAGCGACCTGGCCACAAATGACAGCTCAACGAAGTGGCTTGTCATCACGTGGCAATATATAGCAGCAGCCAACACTCTAAACCCATGTCTCTAAATGTGCAGAGACAAACCGAAGCACGGGGAGAACATTTCACGCGACCAAGGGGAGATCACGCAAACTCCAAGAATACAACAGGCGTCAGGGTCGGGATCGAACCCACGACCCCTTGTATACCAGGCGAGGGAGTTAACATTTTGCCACCGTGGCGCATTCATATGGTGGGGTCCAATCTTCCATTGACCACTGCAGAACAAAGCTGGGTTTTATCTTACTACTTTCAACGTTATCCCATTGTATTGCTGAGCTTTCTCCAGGGACTTTCCAGTTTCCTCCCACATTGAAGCCCAAACACACCTTATTGGGACTCGAAACATCTCATTGTTTGCAGAAACCTGTTTTAAAGTTCTGTGACTGACGCTTTCCAGGGGGCAAATAAAGGGCATTTATCACCGCCAATCATTTTCACGTATACTACATTTGTTCTATAAATAAACCCACGTGTAATTTGAGTCTGAGAAGTGGTTAAAATTAAAATCTATATATACCTACTACAGTATCTAACTGTAGTATTAATAAAGCACTTGCTTGTATTTCATGATTGCACGGTACAATATGCACTCTGTACTTATTGTACACAATATAATGCTGGCTTACAATAGATTGTATTCATAGAATTCTCATGAGAGGCTGTAATGTCCTCAACAGGTGTATTAATCGACAGCCCTTTTCGTCAATCCACTGCTGGATGAGTAGTGGAGATTATTCAATAACTGACATGCACAAGCATCGAAGCGTGGCTTATTTGCATAGCTTATATAGTGTTTAGATATTGTCATTTTAAGTTACACAGACATAGCTTGTACCCTAACCCACCACACTTGAGATGTCAGCGCATTCACTTCTCTACGTTTGACCCCCATTAACATTGGGGTCAGAGATGCCTCCTCTTCGCCATTCATTACTGCCATTAGCCAGGAAAACTTCTCATTTACCTTATTGCAGGGGCAATCTCCCTTGCTACTCGCCACAGTGGCTGGGAAATGTTATCTGCCTCGCCTGGTGTACAGGAGGTTGTGGGTTCCATCCCGATCCTGACGCCTGTTGTATATTTGGAGTTTGCGTGCCTCTGTCTCTCTCCCCCGTGGTGGTTGTGTGGATGTTTTTTCACCGGGCCCTCTAGTTTTTCCCTCCACATTTAGAATCAACATCACGCGTTTCGAGTATTTGGTTGCTATACATTTTCACGTGATAAGCCATATCATTTGTGGCCAGGTCACTTCTGAAATGGAGCTACACAGCTCAGAGGGTCTTCCCTAATAAAGTAAAGAAAATAGTTTAGTTTAAATAGCTTACTCAACTCAGATCTACTGCTAGCCGACATCTCTCCTCTGCTACTCTTCTCATCCCCTCTGCTGCTCGACTCAGCACACGACAGAGGCGGAGGTCACCACTACGCCCGGCCACCTTTGTCTCCCTAAGCGGCGATGCTCACATCTCACCAGGTACTCATTTGAGGCCGAGTCGACCTAAGAGGTAGTAGGAGGCCCTCAGGACCGGTTCAGATAATCGTCACTTGGCTTTGGTGGCCGTGAGGGGGGTGGTAGCCCACCGTAGTGCAAACACGTGGCACTGTGTACTAAATACAGCACGCACGTGGTATACTGTACACACACACGTGGTATACTGTACTGCACAGTGTAACGGTGCCGCACTGTACACACGCACGCGTACTGTAAACACGTGTACAGTGTTAACTAGTTGCATATACAGTCTAAACAGTACAGTACTACTATACCTGTCAACCCTTTATCGGTGCCCTACATTATTAGAGACCAATTCAGACCGTACTGGTCACCCCGTGTCCCTTATACATCTCAATGTTCGTCCTACAAAGTCCCATCAAGAGGGAGAAACACTCACAGAGACACAACATTTTGCCCTATTACAACATCTTGCTGCCGTATGAACCTAAACACACAAATGTCCTTGTACAGGAATAAGAGGTAAGACCGCATGGGTTGTGACAGCGATGCAGTATACACATCGACTGTATAGATATACACAATGTAAGTGCTATGCATGATATGCTGTGTACGCAAACACGTGCAGTCTACACGATGCATACAGTATACGCACATCTATGCAAGTGAACGGTGAGCAGTTTGCATTGATCGATCACGTCAACAGCAGTGATCGATACATTGCTGAACGATGTAAACCAGAATTAATAATTGCATCGATCCATCTCCCCGTTATTATTGGGCCCGGACATCATTCATCTTAGCTAGCGGCCTATGATCACCGCTAAAACGATGTTTAATGATTAATAATAAAGGTTGTTTTTGTTAGTTAGATTAAGTATAAATGTGTCGTATCCCTCCACGACCCGACACGTAAACAACGCGAACTACTTCAGCCCCAAGGTGTGTTGGAGAGTAACATCCACGACATTTAAATGTTGTTGTTCTGTAATGCCGTGTTCTTCCTATAGGTTGAGCATCGACAAGACACACCATGTACACACAACAACAACAAGTAGGATGTGTAATGTAATAAAAGGTGAAGTGTGGCCACTCACCGGCGTGGGTTGTAGCCTGTCGCCTTCCGGCAGGGTCAGCTCCATAGCGCAGTGATCGACCGCCACCACCACCAACAACTTACACACACAGTGTGTGTTAATATACTACTACAACTACAACACACACAGTGTTAATCTCCTACTACTAACTACAACACACACAGTGTGTGTTAATATACTACTACAACTACACACACAGTGTGTGTTAATATACTACTACAACTACAACACACACAGTGTGTGTTAATATACAACAACTACAACACAGTGTGTTAATCTCCTACTACTACAACTCACACACGAACACTCTGTGTTGCTACTCTGTGTTGCTACTCTGTGTTGTTAAATCACGACCTGCCCCCCAATCCACAACCCACCACCAACTCGCCGCGGGCGAGGAGGAGGTTTAGCTCAGCGCCAAGATCGTAGCGGAAACAAAGAGACCCCCACCCTCCTATTCTCTCTCGCTCTGTCTGTCTCTCTCTCCTTGACGTCGTCGCTACATTAACAACAATACAACCCAACACACCAACAACACACACACCAACAACACACACACCAACACACACCAACACAACAACACACACTGCAGCAGTAACGGGGTCTGTTGTAGGATCCCAACGAGGCTTCGTGCGTGCGGAGTTGCTGTGCTAATAACGGCACCGGGGTGGAGCAGCAGCAGCAGCAGGAGGGGTGGTGGTGGTGGTCAGTGGGAATTTCCAAAAAACCACAGCGGATGGACCCTTTTAGGGGGTGGGATGATGGCTTGGAAGGTTCCCTCCTTTTTCCCACACCACGCCGCCGTTGACCCCTGGCCGTTGACCCTGGCCGTTGACCCTGGCCGTTGTCCCCTGGCCGTTGACCCTGGCCGTTGACCCTGGCCGTTGTCCCTGGTCGTTGACCCTGGCCGTTGACCCTGGCCGTTGTCCCCTGGCTGTTGACCCTGGCCGTTGTCCCCTGGCCGTTGACCCTGGCCGTTGACCCTGGCCGTTGACCCCTGGCCGTTGACCCTGGCCGTTGACCCTGGCCGTTGACCCCTGGCCGTTGACCCTGGCCGTTGACCCTGGCCGTTGTCCCCTGGCCGTTGACCCTGGCCGTTGACCCTGGCCGTTGTCCCCTGGCCGTTGACCCTGGCCGTTGACCGAGCAACCCAACGTTCCTACCAGCTCCCTCCGCAGGAATGTGTTTGTTTATTCGGTCGGTAGGAGGTGCTCCATCACGCGAGGCTGTGTTGTTGTGCTTCAACTTGTGTTGTGTGTGTGTCTCTTGTGTGCTGTGTGTACTCGTTTACAGGATGTGAAAGGGACTCTTTGTGTCTGTGTGTATGGTATGAAGTACAGGCCTGTTTTGGGTGATGTACGCAAACTCCTGTGTGTTGTGTATGAATCATTGTGTGTGCTGTGTATGCGTCATTGTGTGCGTTGTGTATGAATCATTGTGTATGCTGTGTATGAGTCATTATGTGTGTTGTGTATGAATAATTGTGTGTGTTGTGTATGCATAATTGTGTGTGTTGTGTATGGACGTTTGTGAGTTGTGTATGAACGTTTGTGAGTTGTGCATATTTGCAAGACTTTTTCAAATACATAAGTGGATTGGAAGAGCTAGGTTGGGAATAATTACAAACCTGTGAACCCCCTGATCAGTGCCCTACCTTATCACAGACCAATTCAGACCGTATTGGTGACCCCATGACCCTTATAAATCTCAACGTTCATCCTACAAAGTTCCATCACTAGGGGAGAAACACAACGAGTACAAAATAAATGTTTGCCCATATTGAAACGGCTGTACGCTGTAAAGACCTGAAAACTAAATTTCCCTGTACGAGAATACGGGTAACCCTTATGTGTTGACAGGTTTGTAATTATGCATATCGTGTGTGGCACAATGGGGAATTGAGTCGTTTCATCTGCCAATCGTCCGAGTTTCTGTTCTTTGGCCTGTGGTGCATCTAGCCTGGCACAAATGCAGTGGTGATGGCACTGAAACTCGTCTGCTATGTCTGTAGGGGCCCAAACAATCGATATTTCTCCCGACTCACTTTTACTGAAATAGCTAAGGATGTTTTCAACCCCGTATAACAGTAACATGTAAGGCTATTTAACTAAATGTATTGTTTTATTTGCACCGTGTATTGGGTTCAGAGGAAGACAGTCCTCACAGTGACAGTTATAGAAAAACAAATTAAAGCTACAATACCCACAATTAAGTCTGCTTCTTCTTTCGTATGGATTCATATCAGATTAAAGATGTAATTCCAGATGTTATCCACTCAATTGTCTGGCTCAGATGCAGTGTGGACCTCGTCCGTGTCTCCTTTAAAGAAGACAGCAGCAGCAGCTGTTTAAGATGCCGGTCGATGGTTTTGGAGATCAGTGGCCGCTCTCATCGCAGGCCACCGAATCTTCGACGGTGCCAATTTGTGGCATTGGGTGGGCCCCATGGGCCATGCCCGCGCCTGGTTCGGTCGATGGTCAAGACCATTTGGCGTGCGTGGAAGGTTGACACCGGGAGGTTCTCCCATGGTGGGTTCCTTGTACGAGATGTTGGTTTTTATTAACGTCGGTCGCGGTCCAGACTTGCACAATTGAGTCAACGTTCATCTTGCTTTCGTGTCGGCCCATCGGTTTAGGATTTCCTCAAAGGGGTTGGATCGTGCGTAACTTTATACTGTTCTATTAATATGATCGCCAAATGTATTTATCGGGCTTGGTCCATGCTAGACCGCAGGTAATATTTTGAATGAATGTTTTTGAAAAATGTTTTCTTAACACTTTTTACTTGTTTATCTGTTGATTCAGGAGCCCCCTTCTGGCCGACTATGTGTTGCATATCGCTGCCGCATACCCCGTAGTTTCGTCCCTGTACGTATGTTGAACTTTTGTCGCACCGTACGTAGCCAACCGTGTTGTGGGAGCATCCCTTTCTGCGTGTGTCAGCCACTCTTCCTCATCCCCCCCTCCTACCAGGCACGAATGGGGTGGGTTGAACTCCACTGTGTTAGTGGCAATCTGCCGGCGTCTTCTCTGTGGCGAAATGCTGTTTTTTCCTGTCACCAGCAGCTGTGCTTTCGCAAGAGTTAGTTTCAGAAGATATGAGTCTCAATAATGTGGACTTAGTCGTGGGAACTGTTTTGTTTGTTACGTTTAAAAAATGCATTGTTCCTGTAATTGTTGATCACCCAGAGCAGGCAGGGACTGCCATGGGAATGTGGAATTTCCATCACGGATTCAGGTCTGTCCACGAGGAGAAGTGCCACTGAACATTTGTTTGAGCAGATAGACACTTGAACAGTTTGTTCAAGTTGTTCCCTATTACAGTACTGTATATTGCAAACTCCCTATCGGTGTCATGTTATGAAATGGAGACATTCTCATTTGGAACTTTGGCAGTGCATCGTCTTGGTTCAGAGAATAGTTCTGCACAATGATGTCAATGAAGTCCCTTTGATAGACCCCCTTTAGCCACACAAAGGCCACTCCTCTCTCTATATATACCCTGCAAAGACAGCTTTTCCGAATGTCACTATTGGCTCAGGACTATAAACTAATTATGAGCAATTCTTCCACGTTAGTTCGAAAACATACTTTTCATTTGTATTTATCGGACGGTGATATTGGTACTACAATTTAACGGACATTCGTGACAGTATGACCATTAACTAACCACTGCCCCTACATACAGAGCACAATGTGGATTTATGTAGTGTCTACCTATGACCAAATATCCAGGCACTGTACAGAAACAATGGACATATTGATCTGATAGAGAGAGGTCGTCAGTCATGGGCAGAGGTAACAAGCAAAGTATCAAGTTGAGACTTGAACATGGGCAGGAAGTCAACAGCACAGAAGCTTCTGGGAAGATATTTGCAGACTATGTCACCGGTCCTGGTTTTCCCAAGATGGTCCTTATTTGACTGTGCCTGTCCTGGGAAATCTATCAGTATTTCTGGAACATTCCACGCCCTGGTTTTAGCCAGTTGTTAAGTAATAATACACCACTGAAGAATCCATTTACATGAAGTTCTCCCCTCATCCAGCATGGTGAGATAATGTTTCTTACCTTGAAATTATTGGCGAGATTTATTTCTTCCCATGATAGTATTCTTTCCGATGGTATATTTTTATTTTAACTGCATAGGGAGCCAGCGGCATGATCCGAGCATTGACAGCTGCATAATACGTAGCACTGTACATGAGTGATATGAATAGCAGCGTGCGCACATCGCCTTCTGGTGGACGTGTCGTTTCTTGCCCATAGAATGTGCCCACAATCGTATTCAATGGTTAATGAGGTCATCCTGATTTAACATCTCGCCACGGTGCGTGTACATAAATATCCTTTCATGTATGGATATTAGGCAGGTGCCCGGTAGAGGAATAAAACGCTATCTTCTCTGTACCGTAGATTTCACTCCACGATTATATCTGTAGGTGGATTATCTTGGGTTGCAGATTAGCCCTGCTTGCAACAACAATAAAATGCATCGTGCGGGCTGGTTTAACTATTAGCTGCTCTTCAAACGCCAGGGGTCAGTGACTCTGTGCCCATGTGACCGCAAACAAGTTTGCAAGTAAAACGAGCACTTTGATAAAGCAATACAAAGAGAATACATTGTATCTTAATCCCAATTCTACATAGCTAACCCTCCCCTTAACCCGGATAATCAGATGGTCGTTTTTTTTTATTGATTTGCCACACTGGGTGCCAAAATGAACTGCTACCTGGATATGAAAGCAGACAAATCGCTGCGAATATATTCCATCCAGTGTCTACAGCGTGCTGCATACACACGCATGCTCTGGGTCTCTAATGGTACAGGAAATGCAAAGGAAACATGGGCTTCATAGCATCCCAAAGTAAATATATTTCAATGGAATCAAGCCCACTCACATATAGACTTCGCGAATTAATTGCAGCATCACTCCTGCACATGTACAGCCCTTTTCTCAATCCACTGCTGGAAGACAGCCTCCCCGCGCTGTATAATTGTGGGAGCGCAGAAGTATAGTACAACAATGTATTTTGGTGCACTGTCCTCTGATGGCACTAACATATACTGTATTGGTGGTACCGTTGCCTGTTGCGGAAATTCCACATTCCCTTGGCAGAGGTCAGCCTCTTTATAGGACAGCCCACAGTTGATTGTTCACAAAGTGGTATTCCGCTTTATTGACCAATTAGTGATGGGTTGGTCAAAGAATAATAATAAGTCAACGGGACGGATCCGAGATATTGGCCACCGGGGAGATGGAGCCGTGAAAAATCGCTGCGTATATATGTTCCAGGTGCTGGGTGTCCTGTTGCATCGTGACAGATTGCGACGGCTTGGGGCAGGCCTTCATCCAGCGGTGGATTGATGATGGCTGATGATGATGACGAAAACGTTGGTTTGAATTCACTTCGAAATGTGACACGCATATTGTATATATTACACTTTCAATGAAACTTTTCCCACGAATGTTTTGTTTGTTAATTAATGTACCCCTCCCATCGCATTCCTCGCCCCATTGCAACTTATTTTTATTCGAACCCACGTGTGCCTCGCCTGACGCCTCTCAAGTTCACCAAGTAAGCTTTGGAGGTTAATGGTTTTTAGTTACGAGTCATTAGCTTCATATGATTTAAAGTTTGGGTTTTTTTCCCCCAAGTTGGTCACAGTATAAACCGCGGATGTGTTGCATTTTCTGGAAACAAAATATCACGCGCGTTCCATTATGTATGCTGCTCTAAGCAGCACAGTACCGGGGGTAGCACGTTCCAGTGGCGTAGTCGTATCAACAAAATAAATAATAAAAGTAAATAATAAAAATAATATAAATAAAATAATCAATCACGACGTTTCGGGCGCAACACAATTCTATTCTATAATTTTCTATTTCTATTCTATTTATATTATTTTTATTATTTATTTTTACCTACGTGACTT